TAAATAAACAGGTGGGTGGTTAAGAAAAAACACAAAAACGGACAAAAGTCACAATAATTTTTGAATGGAGAAGGGAAAAAGAGAATTGTATGCAGAGATATTTTTTAAAATTAAGGCCATTAGGGAAGAAATAATAATAATAATAAAACAACAATGATTGCTCCCACTAGAAGCAGATATTCTTCAGTGAATAATGAAAACATAACAGAATCCTTTCTTTTATCCCCCCACAAAAAAAACAAAGGATTTCAACTTGTAAAAAATTCCATATGCAGAAATTGAAGCTTAAAAGTGGGATTTTATTTTGATTGCAAAAATATTAAACGAAAATAGGATTTAATAAAACAGGAATCATTAAAAGGAAGCATTAAACTAAATTTTATAGAAAATAAAGGAATAATAATAATGTTAACTAAAGAAAAAAAACATTTTTGAGTTCTTATGATTAGGATGATAAGTTTGAGCGATAACAAAAAAAACTTAATGGAGTAATTTTAATAGCGACATCGGCACAGAAGTATGGAAGACTAAAAATGTAGGATGGTATTGTTATTTGTGTTTGTTTTTTTTGTTTGTTTTTTTTTCCCCAGCCCTACACTTGCACTTCCCATCCCCCCTTCCCGTCTCAAGCTGCAGCATTGACATTTGTTATACACAGTGGTCAGTTTAGGCAGTAAAACTGGTCAGGCTTTGGCACACAACAACTTAAAAGCGACAACACAAAAAAAAAAAAAAAAAAAATCTTACAAATGTATTAATTTTTCTTTTGATTTTTGGGAGTAGAGGTCATCAGTTAATTAACATATTTAGGATGGTTTAAACCAACAGCAGGTAAACATGTCATGATCATTTATGCTAATTCTGCTTGTTCCACTGCTAGTTAGCACATGCATTATGCCCTGCCATTACCTCAGATAAATAATGGACCATTCTGTTTTGATTGCAAGGAAAGACGGAAGAAAATGATATATCAGACGCCGTTTTGGTTTTAGTAAGAAAAACAAAGAGGAGGCAGTAACACTGTCATGCTCCTAACGTCTGCTTCAGTGAAATGGAAAACCTTATCAATTTTAAATCTTTATTTGTACCCTCTTACTTCTTTAAATAACACCCAGCATTCATACTTATGATTGTTATTGCAATATTTTGTTAAAGTTGTTAAGCTCAATTAGGCAATAGGGAGATAATTGTGGAACTTGCAAGGTGCTTTTCAATCATTATATTATGATTCATCAGAAAATTAAAATATGGAAACTGAATTTTTCACAGGTGTTGTTAGTAGTAATTAATATTTTAAGAACCATAGACCCTATTCTAAGTGAAGTAATCCCAAACTAATTTTTATACTGATTTCCAAACAATATCTGGGTTTTTAGTTTGTGTTTTAAAGGGAGATAAATATAAAAATATACCCAGTGTTACTTCTTAGGAAGCAAAATTTACAACAGAATAATGTTTAAAAGTTGATATGAATAGGGATGAAGTTTTCTTTCAAGCATAGCTTTGCCATCAAATTATGAATCTGAGAAAGCTACAAATTCAGCTACTTTTTATTTGGAATAAGTCATTGCTTCAGCAGACAAAGCAAGGAATTTTATTTTTCATAAATTACTGATTAGATAAAAAGGCGGTGAACTTAAATATGAAATATCTGAGAAATAGTCTTTAAATTCATTGATATCAAAGACAATATAGAATATCAGGCTTTAGAAATTTAGGATCCAGTAATTTTAAATTATAAAAAGCCATCAACTTTATCAACAGGTAATGAATGCATCCTGCAGCAGAATGATGTTCAGCAACAAAAAATTTCAGAAAAGTATGTTGAAATTCATGAGCAGGAATGAAAATACTTTTTGCATTGAATGAATAAATTATTGAATTATAAAAATAATGGTTTTCTATAATACTCACACTGACACAAATGTAGATTAGCATGGAATGGATTTTTTGTCTGCTCTCATAAAGAGAACTGATTCAAGAAAACTGAAGAAATAAAACTAGAGATGTTGTCATTGTATATTTTTGTATACAAAAAAAAATCTGGAACTTTTTTTTTTTCTCCAGTTTATACAATTATAGTAAGCAATGGCTTGTTACAATGAGGAAATAGTCTAAACATCAAAGGCAAGATTAAGGATTTAAGATTAAAATAAAATTATTTATGCACTAGTTGTGAGGTTGGTGGAGAGATTAGGCCTAAAATTTATTACAGTATAAAAATGAACACTTGCAATAGAATAACAATTACCTGATTAGTGTCACAAACTATTTCTACAATGTTTATTTGGTGCTACTTAAGAATGTGATCTACTAGAATACATCACTAAAATATGTGATCTATGTATTGAGAAAATTCTCTACATTAAAAATAGATATATACAGAATAAGACCAGAAAAAGAATTAGTCTAATAATAATATACTAAACAAATAATACCATCTGATAAAAAAAAATATAAAGGAAATTGTTGTGTTACCTAATACTATCAGTGTCTGTAAACATTTTGATAATTCGGAAATGCAATAAATTAATTTTGAGCATTGAATCGATAATTTTCTTTAAGGTAGATCACATAGTTAAGTAGCACAGTTTATTCTTTACTGGAAGGGTCACAAATCTAATATCAAATTTGTGTATAATGATAAAACCGTCAAGAATAAAACAAATAACTTAGTTTTATCTACGTTAGACTGTTTAAGTTCTATAAGTTTTGTAAAGGCTATCTATAGACATTTTTTATGCTGCTACTGTTTTTAGAGAAGAGACGTTTTAAATTATATCAATTTACTTCATTATGTCAGGAAAATATTCTCAATAATATTTACCTTCTATAAAGGAAATATTTTGAAGTATATATTGTTTTTATTGTATTCTCACAAGAATCTGCTTAATATTTTATATTATCTGAACGCTATAATTTGCAGGCACAATAAGGGATTTTGTTTTTTTTATGCAAGACTCAATTGGTTGTATGTTAAAAAAAAAATCACTTTGGTATATCTGTGATGGAAAGATTAGTAATTTTAAGCAATTGAGAGTTTTTGATGGAATAACACTAACAGCACTTTATTTTAATGCAAGTGAATCATTATACATTAGATGTATATGCAAGAGAAAACATTTAAATAAAGTAATTGATTAGGGAGAACAACTTTTTGTCTGGATTTGAATATTTCCACCTCAACCTCCTATCATGAGATAACTTTGACTCAAGCCTAAGCAGTTCAAGAATATGGATGGAACCTTGGATTTCTTCACTCTCCATTTTTTTTTCTTCTACTATTTCATTCAAATGAAAAGGATATATCTGTTGATTTGGTTAGATTTAGAGGCAATAATTTCATTTCTCTCTAAGGGGAAACCATTAGAAATAAAATAAAAATCTGTTGCATAAAAATTGGATGACTTCACAATGTTGATATTTAGGGTGTTCTAAATTTACATAAACCCTCATCTGACTTACCACCATGAGACCATTAAGCCCTCCCCCATAAACCTTCATATAGGTCCAGTGGCAGACATGTTAACATTTTGATTGAACTAAGTTTTTACTTATAACAGTGAGAGATTGTTTACTATGCATATATTTAAAAAAATATATATAGGTAGAGAAGTTACTATGGATATATTCAAATTTTCAATATTTTTTTTTTTTAATATTGATACAAAATTAAGTCTAATATTTCACTAAAATTTTTTTTCTTTTTTTTCTTTTTTTTCTCTCCTCGGTGAAAAAAAAAAAGAAAATTAGCTAACGAAATGAATATATTAAGTGACGAAAAATTAATTTGAATGAAATATGAGTCCTGACACTAATGGAAACTTAAATAGGCTTAGATTTACCTACAAATAAAACCTTTAAAAATTAACCATTATCTATTTTTCCTGGGGCAAATATAAAAGCCCAAAGGAAAAAACAAAAATGTATCATGAATTCATATTAGGCCATTTCTAAGCCTTTCAGGAATACATTTAGCAACTTTATGCTGGAAAAATTGAAATAGGAAGAAGAAAAAAAAACCAAAACATTTCATCAGACCATTTCTTTTACAATGGTTCACTGTTAAGTCATTTATATGTAATACTGTAGATAATCATTTCTTTTTAACTTTATATCATTGTTTTAGCAATATTTAGCAATGAAGAAGCACAAGCTGAAATGTTACTTCTTAGGAAGCAAAATTTACAACAAAATTTAGAATAATAATTATATTTTACAGCAAATATTTTTATTTAGAGGAAGAAAAAACTTTTTTGTTTTTTAACTTTTCATCATAAAACTGTTTTAAGAATCTTAGTTTTGCTTAAACAACCATTTCAAAAAGTTCTAGTTCTCCCAAATACCATCAATTTTTATCTTTCATCCTTTTGTAATAAAAAAAAATATATATATGGAGCCTTGAAGCAAGAGTTGCACATTTATCTGTGAACAAAATTAGTCTTACATTTATGTAGAACACATTCTAAATTATGTCTTATTTTTGTCAGTGAAAACGTATCAATCCTTCTATCCATCCATCATTTAGAACTGATGACCTCTCTGATTAATTTTACTTTATTTTTTTTTGATTTGTTTAAAACACCTGTGCCTCCAAAAACGGTGCAGAGGTCACTTGCAGGTGTACAATATCTCAGCATTACAAGACAACTGATTCATATAAGTAAAATTTACTTACTCAAAGTAACAATCTCAGTGTTATAGATAAAACTATTTTTTCTAATTCTTTCCTCTTCTTCAATTGAATTGTGGGTAAAGAGTTGAAAAGAGTATTGGGAGCGAAAAGGAGTAGTTGGTGGACCTTGAAAAGAGAAGAAATGCCTAACCATAGAAAAATAAGTTTAGGGAGTAAAACTATATGGAAAGAGATTAGAAAGATAATTTTAACAAATTTTTCTTGTCCAGCAGAAATAAAACAAACATTCAGTCTTGTCTTGTAGCAGAGATAACAACAACAAGAGATGAAAATTAAATTGTCCTTAAAAGAAACTTTATATTCTTCATATTCTGATCTCCTGTTCTGATTCTGGTGAACCAATGTAACTTGGATGTCCTCGCTTAACAGATGTTCGTGCCCGCCCAGGTGTGTTATGAGCAGAACTACCAGCTCCACGGGAGCTAACCACTGGGGATATGGATGGGCTCCTTGTAGCCAGTGGCGACAGGGAGGGTGTGAAGGATGGGGTCAATGCAGGGGAAGGGAAACACGACTCATGACTAATTGGTGAACGAGGCAACGTGGGAAGAGAAGCGTTATTAGTCCTTGACCCTGGATTTCCAGAGGGCCCATTTGCTGCAGTATGACTAGAGTGGTTCGAGCCCTGATTATATGTTTTAGGAGGAGCATCTGTGATAATGGGTGGTGGCACAGTTCGAATATTTGAATTCAGTGTGCTATTTACAAATCTTTGGGGGACTGTATGAATAGGTTGTTTTTTAGGCATACAGTTCAATGTGTCATCATCTTTGAGTTGCGCAATTTCAGCAAACACATCAGCAAGGGGCATGTACTGCGGTCCCCAATCTAGTAAGTAGTCCCAGTTGTAGGAACCACTGTACTCCTCTTCGCTGTTTACTACACTAGACAGAGAAGCTACCTGGTGTGGTTCAGCATCATGAAAACCCTGATCCCGGCAGTTTTCAATCATTGATAGCTCATCATCTGTCTCTATATCCCCAAGTTTCTCATAGACAATATTGTTGATATCTATCTCCTCTGGGTCTCCGCCACCATCATCAGGAAAATGGTGCAAACTTTCAAGAGGTGGTGCTGTGGCAATTGGCTTGGTTTTGGCTTGGATTCGAGATGTGTCAATGCCAAGTTTGGCAAAATATTCTTGGTGGTTTTGGATGGGTGGGTCTGAGCAGCTGTCTTCATCCTGCTGAATACCAGAGTCTGGCATTTTGACCTTACGGGACAGAGTTTGGGCTTGAAGGCAAGTATTTGAATTAATCATCCGAATTTCTTCATCCTCATCTTCTTCGACAGAGCCTCGCCCACTGGAGGCTGAATTACCCGAGCGGTCCGACAGCACTTCCGATGGTGCAATGTGGTTGCCATTACACCGGACAACTTCCCTGTAGGAGGGTGGACCAGGCCTCCTTGGAGCTGCCGATGGAGGAACCTCAAATGAGGGAGGCACTGATCGGGGTTTGCGTTTCCTGTATCTCCGTCTGTATACAAAGAACAACAGAATGCACGCAATGATGAGGATAAGGGATAAAACGATGACAACAATTATGATTACAAGTGTCTTACCACCACTTCCAGGATCAACAATGGCAAGTTTGTCACATCCCACACATCCACGGTCAATTTTTATAATTGCGTGGGTTTCGTTGATTTTAGAATCTGATTTCCCTGACCCAGCTATGACAACCAATTTTACATCTTCATATTTTTCCTCCTTCTTCTCTTTGGGAGATTCTTTTTGATCTTGATTATCTGTTGACACCTCACGACGTTTACGAAGACTTGCCTCACTTCCACCACCTCGAAGATTTTCCCTAACGTAAATGCTACCATTTAAGGGGGAAATCATAAATCTGTCATCCGTGCCACCAAGTCGGTAAATTATACGTCCATCTTCTCCCTGATCTTTGTCTGTGGCTTCAACTTCCCCAACATATTCCCCAGTGTCCGCATCGCCACGTATACTGAAAGAGTATTTTGATTTCAAGAACTTTGGTGTGTACTCGTCCATACTGAGAATATTCACTTCAACTGGAATTACAGAATGAAGTCCTCCACTATCCATAGCTTTCAGCTGGAATGTGTATTGGCTGCGTTTTTCGTAATCAAACCGAGTGGCAGTGCGCACCAATCCTGTTTCTCTGTCAATATGAAAAGATTTATAGTCACCATCATATATCTGATACACGACTTTGCCAAAAAGTGTGCCATCTTTATCATTGGCATGTGCCTGGAAGACACGTGTATTTACAGGTTGATTTTCGGCCACAAACTCTATGTACCGCTGGAGTGGGAAGAGTGGAGGAGTTTCATTGATATCAGTCACATTGACAATAACAATACAGAAAGCAGACAGTCGTTGACTCCACTGGCAGTTTATACAGTCAATAGCCTCAACAACCAGCTTATGTGAACTTGCCTTCTCATAGTCAAGGTGCTTGCCTGGAGTAATAACGATATTTCCTGAAGTGCGGTCAATTGTAAACAGGCCATTCTCATTGCCTGTTGTTATATGGTATTCAATTTCAGAATTTGCTCCCTTATCTCCATCGGTTGCATGGACAGTAATCAGTGTCACATTGCTCAGAAAAGACTCATTCAGCATTGCAATGTAGGTGTGTTGGTTGAAAACTGGTGGCTGGTCATTAACATCTTCAACAATGATTTCCACATGGGCAGTGGAAGTTTTTTGTGGTGTGCCATCATCGGAAGCCACAACAGTGAAGCTGTAACGGTCAGTCTTCTCCCGGTCAAGCATAGAGTTGAGACGAATCACACCTGACCTTCTGCCCAAAGAGAATATATCTCGCATATTCTCTTCTTTTATTTTATAGTCAACTTTGCGTTTTTTAAGTGAGTTGCTATCTGTTGGACCAATCAGATCCAACAATTCTGTGCCACGTACTGTGTTTTCATCGAAGCGGACTCTGCAACAAAGAGGAAAGAAGATTAGTGAAAAGATTAAAGCATTTGGATTATTAGACAAGGTACCATTAAAATTTTTAGTTTTTCTAATTCTATGATTCAGCTATTTTACTTATAATTTGGCCTAGAGTGGACAAATTTTACAGCCATACATCATTAAAGAGAGCAAAGTCTATTCAATACAGTTAAAGAAAAACTGTCTATATTACACACATCCCCATGCATATACAGAGGTGTATACAATTATTTTGAAAATTTTGTATTGAAAAATTCCATCAATAACATCTGGATATTTTTTCTTTTTTTAATCATCCCTCTTCTGTTATCTGTGAATTAAAAAGCATTCTTTGAAAAGATAGTGGAGTAGTTTCCAGTTGCCTTTTTCGGAGTTTGGATATCAGTTTTCCTTCTCTAAAACCGGTTGCCAGTCAAGGCTAGAGAGCCCCATCTACCCTGCTATTTAACCCATAGCTGGAAGGAGAAGAGATGGATTCATGTCTTTCTCAAATGCATTTGTATGAAAGGGAATACAAAGACTGATTTCACTTTTTGTGCTAATATCCATTACACTACCTGCACATCTACCCCTGCTTTTTTTTTTTTAGATACTGCTCTATAATATAGCTTAGTCTTTCAACAACAGAACTCCATCACTGTTGTAGGGGCTGTGTAAATATTACACACTCCCTACATGTATGCCAACAATTATATATAATTGGTTTTCATTTCAGTATTTAATATTCAGTAATATTTGTAGGAAATTGTTTAGACAGCAGTAGGCGTCCATTGAAAGAGTGCAATAAAAATTTAGTTTACATTTAATTTGAATAAAGTGTTTATTTCATGTTTCATCTGTTTTTATATATTTAAAATGTCTTCCTTTCTCTAATCTAGGCTGTATAGCTCCCCCTCCTCAGAGCTATACAATCAAAGAGTTGGCCCTGAGCATCACCAAACCTCCGCATGTCACAGACATGCATACATTTGGGTTTCTTTATTCTATAGACCAGTGGTTTTCAACAGGTGTGCAATGAAAAATTTTTAAGAGTCATTAATGAAATTATTTTCATATGTTGAAAGCATAATATTTGTACATATCAAAATTAAAACCCATTTTAAGTGCAAGTCAAGCTTTTCTGCAACAAACAATATTAAAAACAAAAATCAATCATGGCTACAGTCTTTGGAAGAAGATTTAAGAGTATGTCTGTGTAAAATTCAACCTTGCAAAGAATATATTCTAAAAAATAACATCAAGCTCAGATACCTCATTAAATGTTGTATTTATTTTTCTGTTATAATTTAGGTTCTTTTATGTTAATAAAGAAATAATAAAAAGTATATTATTTTGATTTTAAGTGTGTCAAAAAAGGTAGACTTAACTTTTGTTAAGGTAGATTTTTTTTTTTCAGGCTTTGTATATGTACATGTGTTTTTATACTTTCCTTGGTTTATATATAAACACACATTTTATTTTTACTTTCAGTGACCCTGAAGATCAAAGAAATTCAACATAACTAGATACAAGGCATGTGTTCAATTTTCAACTGTACAGCTATGAAAGGTATTTTAATTTGATTTCAATTCTACATGAAATTTTGCATGTACTTTTAAATTTTTGCTTGCTTGAAGAAACACATTTCTAAAAACTTCCTGTTCATAATGTTTTCATTTTTAATTAAATGACTGCACTTAGATTAAAACACAACTTTAGGAAAGTGATTCATTTTTATAATAATGCTTCAAGTAATGAAAATTGAATTGCCAAAGAATTCTTCTCTTGTGTTGTTATTGATTGGTATTGTTAATTTGTCACTTAAATTTTATTTTTGTTGCTTTTATCAAAACTTGCCATTTTTTACATTTATTCTATGATTATCAAATCAGATGGGTTAACTGGAGGGAAGCTTCCAGTGAAATTTGAACTCTCATCCTTTATTCTTGGGAGCTTCTCTTAAGTATGTCTCTGAATAACATCTACCGTTTAAACTTTATCTCTTTTTTAATCTTACTTATTTGATGTGTACTTCTTCTATTCCTGTCAATTCAGGACTTTGGCGATCATGATTCTCCACAACTTCCTGTCCTTCATAGCTCTTAATAAATTTTGTCTTTTTGCTACCTCTCCTAAACTTTGTTCCACTGTCCATTTACTCAAGCTCGCTAGGTAGGTTATGCATTATTTTCCTATGTCTTGTGAGTATCAAATTTTCCAAACTGTCTTTCTCATTACGTGCTCTAGAATTTTCAATTCTCTCTCTCTCTCTGTCTGATGTAAATAATTTGACACTTAGACTATGAAAGTTAAGTATTACTAGTAGGATCTATTCATCTGGAATCTCAAATAGTTTCAGATACATCTCACTTATTACGTCTGCAGATTCATTTTTTATATTTCCTGTAGATATGTGACTTTGTGGAGATGCACTCACCTGTATGAAGTATTTAGGAATCTTGGAGGGTAAGTATTGACAGCAATTATTTGGACGTAAACAACAACCACAGCAGAGAGTCTTGGATTGCCAGCATCTTCAGCTACTACTACCAGCTGAATGATAGAATGGTTAGGGTTGAATTTCAGTGAACGATTTACATGGATTGTACCTGAGGGTCAAAGAAGACAGGGATGAGTAAATTATTGTTAATATACAGACATTTTGGCATGAGAACAGATTTATTGTTTAACTTGGTTGCATGAAACATTTGAAAATGAAAACTTCCATTTCATGTTAAAAAAAAAAAAACTTTTCAAAATACATTTATAAAAAAACCCAAAAAGGATAAAAATTATAAACCTTGTAAACAAATGATTATTTGAAAAGGCTATTTAAGACTATTAAAATTCTTTTCATGTTGACATTTTTAAAATGGCTCAGTTAGTTTCCTTGTTTTAATGTATCACATACAAAGAAAAAAAAATATGTCAATATTCTCTATATCACTTTACATTTCTATTAAAACAAAAAGTAAATTAGCAATAAACAAAAGTTGTTTGTGTGTTGTTTCTATCAAAATAATTATAAAACTAAAGAAAATTGTTCGTACCACTTCTGGAATCAATATAAAATTCAGGAACTGGGATATCCATTCTGTAAGTAATCTCTGCATTCTTTCCAGAATCCAGATCGGTGGCCGTTACTGTGATGATTGACTTGCCAATATACGCCGTCTCCTTGACAGTAACCTGGTAGCTTTGTTTATTAAATTCAGGAGCATTGTCATTTTCATCCAATACATTAACTGTCAGTCTTGTAGTAGCATAATTATTTCCACTTTTTACCTGTAACAAAAGATGAGTAAGAAGGTGGGGATGAAATTAGACTAAACTATGGCAAAAATTATAAACAACAGTGTTCAGAACCTCTATATAAACATGATGCACCTCCAAATATCTAAAAGATTTTTTTTTTTTTTTCAGGTCAAATAAAAAAACCAGCAAATCAAAATTAGGGATTCAGTGTTGGTCAATCAAATGGAAGATCGAGAATCTAAAATTGTGTTTAAGTTGAGCCTATCTCCAGTGATATATGCAAAGGAGAATCAACATCTAAACAGCAATACAGTGATAGGAGAAAAAATGACATTATCAGACCAGGAATGACTCATCTGCACAACACATTAGTGCTGTAAAATTTTACTCACTACTCCTGGATGAGGAATTTGGCATGAGAACGAATGCCCCGCCTATAGATAATTGGATTTATTTGTATGAGCCTCACATACTAAAACTAAATACACTTCCAAAAAGCTTATATATGTGATTTATGATTGGTGCTTGCTGTTACTTACAGTAACTAATTGCTCTGACAGAGACTCATACTTTTTTTTTCCACAGCACCAGTGTCCTGCCTAATAAAGAATTGTTATTGTTTGTTTTATAAATCTGTTTGTGTTTATTTATGTTAGTCATATATTCATAAAGTTAAAGGCATTGCTACATTGAGGTCAATAAAACATAACATGGCTATCACAGCCTCTACAAACATATCTAAACAGATTCCAATTTTTGCTGATCAGCTATAGGCATTTTTGAGATTGTCAGTTATATTTATCATCAGAGCTGTTTTGAATTGAAGCCACATTACAAGTCAGTGAGATTTCTCATTTTCAATATGGCTGCTTGTTTCTGAGAATCCCCATCTACTCAGGTTCAAGTATATGTCTCACCAGGACCACATATCTTTTTTTTTTTTTTTTTTTTTTTTAATTCAGAGACTGGTTGCCAGTCAAGGCTAGAGAGTTCAGTTTACCCTGCTATTTAGCCCCTAGCTGAGGAAGGGCACACAGTTCGATTTGATTTTGTTTAATGGCATGTCAACCTTGACAGGTCATTTTACACCAACCAGGTAGATACATATACTTTCCTTTTTTCCTATAGTTGGGAGGCACAATTTGGTAGCATTTATGTATATAATCTCTTTGTATTAAGTAACAAAAACCATTCAGTAGAGTTCTGACAAAGCAAAATACTTTTGGGTTAATGCCTATAATTTTTTTTTATTCTGCAAAGAAATTTTTAAACATTAGAGAAATATTAATTGGCCTGTCACTGCTCCATGTAAAAAAAGCAAACAAAAAAACCCACAAATATTACAAATGTTAGTTTCAATTTAGTTGACCACATCTGTTAGTACAGTTGTATGGTTCAATTGCCTTCTTCACTTAATGGGTTATTTCCTTTTAAAAAAAAAAAAAAAAAAAAAAATGGTAGAGAATTTACTTCACCCTCAAAATGGAAACACTTCATTAGGCAAAATAAAAAAAATAATGGTATCAGTTTTGTCTTTTACTGGTTTCTCCAAAAATATATGGAAATAATTATTAGAGAGTTTTATTTGGTTAGCCTGGAAGAAATCTGACATATGAAAATAACTGTATAAAATTATTTTGCTAACAAGATTTCTTTTGTTGCAATTTACCCACCTGTGAACAAGTGACTGGGAGAATCTTTTCTTTAAAATCTGTTATGGACTGATAGGTACGTGGACTGATAGGTACATAAATCATTGCTGATATCTTGACAGGGAAAGTCATTCAAAGCATTGAGAGTAAATGATGTTATTTTATGTCACTTTGTTTAAGTTTACAAAAACAAACAAAATGACTCTCTCTCTCATTTCTCTGACCTCACACTTCAGGAATTTCCTTTACAAAAAATTGGATGTGTTTGAAATTATTAATATAGTCTGTTTTCATAAAATATATAAATATATAGATAAAAAATAATCTATATAAGGTTTAATATTAAAAATAATATTTTCTCTCTTATGTATAATAATAATAGCTGGCCACTTGTATTTGAGGATACCCAGCTAGCCAATCCCTATTGCAGACGCTCGCTCAGGCACATTTGTGTTTGCTCAACACAGAGCCAACCTGTGGTTTATACTGCAACTATGCTGAGCAGACCCTAGTTACAGTTTTTGGGAGAGAGTGTGTTATCTAGCATGATCAACAATTTGAACAAGGCCAGCACACTCATGCCGTCAGCCATGATGTCTTGTGGCTTCATGCTAGCACAGGCATCTACAGCCCCAAAGATTCAGTCTACCCAATTTCACTTACAAGGCTTGGGTCAGCCCATGGTAGGGTTTTTAGACACTTTCCAAAGGTGAGGCACACTGGGATCGACCCCAATCCAGTCCGATAACATCAGAAAGTCTATATAAATAAAATAATGTGCGATATTTATATAATTTCTAAAGAATTAATGGATTTACTTTTAACAACATTTTTATTACTTCAAACATTATTATGGTAGATACTCATATTTGAAATACACGTCTCATTTGAATTTTATTTTAAACAGTTTATCAGCTTGCATATTCATGCTTCCTTTTTGTAGAAGAAACCACTTGGCTAGCGAAGAGCACATTTTCTTTAATAAGATTTCTCAAAATGCTATTTAAAATAAAATTAAAATAGGGTGTCTATTTCAAATATGAGTATCGACTATAAATAATTGAAGTAAATATATATGAAAGAGTAAGAAAAGTTCTGATACAAGTACACATACCATTACAAAAATTGAAAACAAACAAATATAAAATTAAATTTTTTTTTTTCTTATTAATTCAAAATAAAATTTTTATGAAGAGTACTTACTGTAATATTAGGGAAATATTGTTTTCTGTTTTCATAATCTAATGGCTGAGCCAGAGTGACCTCTCCAGTCAAGTGGTCAATATTGAACATGTCTTCAGCAGAACTAATGTTGTAGCTGAAAGATGGATTCAGATCAGCTACATTTGCTGTTACCATAGCAATGACAGAGCCAACCTCAGTACCTTGAGAAAAGTAAGAGAAGCAATACAAATGAAGATTCTACTCCACATCAAAGAACAAAAAATATAAAGACACTTGAAAGGGAAGAAAAAAAGTAAAAAAGCCCTTACATCAAAAAAAAAACAAAAAAAAAACATACATTTTTGAAATCAATAGAAACTTCTTGATTGAAAAATAATAGTTTTAAAGAATCTATTTTTTAGCTATGCCAGCAATAGCAACTCCAGGAATAATGAATGTTGCAGTTAGCAACAAAAAAAAAAAAAAAATCTGTGTTAGTTGTTACTGGGAGATGAAACCCAATTGATGGTTTACTACCTTCATAATGGCTACTATGTTTTCTGGGTTCCTAGAAACAGATTGTTTAAGAGCTGTTGATTGTCATCCTAAAATTATAAAAGCAAGCCCTTTGTGCCAAACTTGGAACTCTGGATTTGAAATTATTTATTTGTGGGATTTACTAACTGTACCATCAACATTAATATTATCTATCTTGGAAAAATTGGCAAAAAATTGCCCCTCCCTCAAAAAAAAAAAAAAAAAAAAAAAAAAAAAAAACTATAATTTACTTAACTTTTAAGTTGTAGTGTTTCTTTTACCCCCCCGCCCCAAATTCCAGTTGAGAATTTTCTTGTTTGCAAAAAGTCACATTTGAATAATGACTTGTAGGGATACAAAAGGTGATTATCTCCTTTTGATTGAGATAAATCACATGGTTCATGTGATGGCTGCTTAGCAATGTCACTTCATACAGAGACAAAAATGGCAGTAAATTTCAGTTGATTTACAGGAGTTAAATCGATCTGTTGCTTTTTTAACCCAGGTTAAGGGGCCTGGGCTGAGGTTAAATCTGCCTCCACATTCTACAGTTTACAAGCACCAGGGTGCTTTTTCCCTTTGGGAATATAACTTACCTAGATATAGAAAGAAACTATCTCTGACTCACAGTCCTCAATTTTGGAAAACCCAAGATTTGCCCTTTACAGTTCATGGAATATGTCCTCACTTGGGACATAGATAAATCCAGCTCATTTAAATCTGTAGTCCTAAACATGGCTTCTCCAGAAACACAGAAGAATCTCCATATTATATGTAAAACTATCTTTTACGCTGCTTGCTGTGTAGATGTGTTAAATTCTTTCTGAATGGACATGTGAAAATATGCATATATAGTTTTGTGTATGTCTCAGTGGTATAAAAATCTGAAAACAAAGCATGTTTGTCATTCTTTTTCCTTTCAGCCATTCCGTTCAATCTGTGAAATACAGTACTATTATATCATGGATATAATAATGTCCATAATGAGGGAAATATAAATGGAAGAATAAACCTTTCTTCCATTGCTCACTCCATTGATGTTGATAGAAAAGAATAACATTTTGGATAATATATTATAACATTCAATCAGAAGATATTTGCTCTGCATATATGAACAAAAACTATTTTGACCGAGTTTGCAAAAAAATTGCAATTAATCATTATAGCTAATAACATGGAATAATTCTTTATATCTCTACAATAGAAGTGATATTGTTAGATTTCTGTTTATATAATTCTAAACAAAACTCTAGTGCTGATAGTTAAATTCTATCTCATACTCATCATCAAATCATATAATCTTTTTATCCATTCTGTGAATCTCTAATTTTTGATATTGGTTATTATTTTCACTTTAAATATTAATACAAATCTATTGTAGTAGGTAGAGCAAGAGGAAACAATACAGGAGGGTTGTATATTTAACCCTTTAACATTCAACATCCTCAAACCTGTGCCATAAAACCGGCTCTCAAAGACTCACTGTTTTTGTGACTTTCTGAATTACTTGCAATGATGTCATATATTATGGCAGAGTATGGAGCAGGTTATATCAGGTTGAATATTGAGGGTCAATATTTACAGGACAGGTTGAATGCTAAAGTAGTTAAAGAAATAATGCATAGGTTTCCTTTTCATTTAGTAAGCTTGTCTCATAGATCTTAATGACTGAGCCTTGCCATAGGTCCCCCAAAGTTATCACCTTGTGCCATACTAGGCTTAATAAATAAAGCATATTTTTAAAAGAAAGGTAATGAACATAATGTCGACTCAGTAGGGACTTAAAAGCAACAATATAGTTTTAGAAACCAAATTTCCAATATTAACAGTTTTGTTTTTAGTGTTTCTACTGCTTGAGGCTTAACATTGCAGTGTAAAAGCACCCCCACAAAAAAAAGTGCAAAAATGGTATTTATCAATTCACCCACAGGAATTGAATGTGGCACAAGGCCTTTTTAATGTGGGTATGTCTGAGCCCGTAGGCCCAGCCAAAAATAAAACCCATCTAAACCCGCCCAAGCAGGCTAGTTCCGTTAACCTCCCCGAACGAAACCCCACCCTTCGGGCGGAGCTTCGTCCGGGGTTCCTCTCTGCAAGCAGAGAGTTCGACAGACACCGCTCGGCAGCTCACAAAGCACAGATACTACACTTTGATCCTAGCCACCGGGCCGAGCGGGTATTCTTTTTTTAGATCTCAAGATGAAGCAGGGATTTACCTTCACCAATATTGACAGGTAAGGGTGTTGGTAGAACAGGATTATTATCGTTCTTATCAACAACAGTGATGTGCAGAACACAAGTGGACGACTTTGGTGGTGATCCATTGTCAGCTGCTTCGATATCCAGCTGATAAGAGGAGTAAATTTCTCTGTCCAGGTAAAGGTTTGTTGTCTTGATGATGCCACTGTATTGTTCGACTTTAAACGCCCTGCCATCATTGCCATTGATGATGCTATAGCGCACCTGGTTGTTGGCATCATAGTCACTGGCAGACACCTGAAACACAATCACACACAAATTACACTTCATAACAAATTCAGTTTTTTATTTTGTCACAATGAACTATTTCAGTAACTCATGATATCAAAAGTAGAATTCATTCAATATTATTAAAATTGGCATTTACTTGATGATTACATATATAGATGTCTAATACAAGTTGGAGGTCTTGATAATTGGAATAGGATCCAATTTTTTCTCTATATGCAAATAAATAGGGATCCTAATAAAAGGAGAACTGGAAAATCATTTAAACATTAAAAACGTGTGTAACTAGTAAACAGGGTGATCTTAATAAGTTTGGAGGGTGGGAATCGGAGAAATAAATAATAAATAAACATTCCCTAACCACATCTATGAATTACCTAAAAGTGATGACAGCAAATCCTGGGTCTTTTTGGCAGAAAGACTGAAGCAATCACACCCATATTTTAGTTCTGATGACATTTGAATTGAAGATATACAAGTAATACTTTCAGTACCCACTGACATTACCACTACATATTTGTTTTACTTTATTTATTTTTAACACAAATCAAAATTTCTGACAAAGAAAAACATAAATTTGATGATTATTACCAAATTTTTCAAATTTTTTTCATCTAAAGTTTATTTTGCATATGACCATATCATGATGAAACACTAGTTCCTGTAACAATCACTAAGGTGTGTTGTAAGCTAGGATTTGCAGGTGGTGAAATGGATAATACCTCAGAATTGTTAATTGGAAAGCCGAGTTCCATTTGTAAAATTGCCAATTGCTTGGGAAAGATATGAATCCAACTCCTCTCCCACAAGCTATGGATTAATTAGTAAGACTTGTATCATTAAATTATTATTATATTATTATCTCCAAGAAAATAAAAAATAAAATTCTTACAATCAAAAAGTATTTTCTGGCTTTAAATAAGCCATAAAAAACAAATCAATTACTCAATCTAAAAATGATTCTTAACAAATTTCAATATTAAATCTATATATTTTGTTGAAAATTGGCAAAAAATTGTCAGTGGTTAAGAATTAATACAAACATTTCTAACCATATAACTATATGTATAATTATGCAGTGGATACCTGCTGTAGAGCAACATTTAACTTGCTCTAAATGGGTGCTCCAGAATTGTGGCCTTGTACCAGAGTGGGTTAAATTTAGTCAATACTTATTATACAGTTTTTTTTTTTTAAACTTTTCTCTTAATGGTTGAATCAATTGAGAAATCTATCAAAGATTTTTAATTAATCCAACCTGGCAAGGTTTCGATCTTGCTAAACATCAATTATCAATAACTTTGAAAGATGTTTCTTTATAAAAGTACATTAAACAAAAGAAATACATTCATACTCACTTTTATTAAGAAACTATTTTTGACAGATAAACATCAACAGGGGACATGAAAACATTTAACTCCTTGTATACAAGAAGACAAGCATATTGAAGATTCAATTCTTTACTGACATTTTTGAGAAGATATTTCTTAGAAAATTTTTGAGAATTATATTTCTTAGAAAAACCATAGGCATGTTGAGTTAAAGGACCATTTCCTATGAATTATACAAGAATCTGTTTTCTGTTACTATCCAGTAGATTTATGTTAAATAAAAATATATGGAAGACACACAAAAAGCTTAGATTCAAGTCAGTTCCCTTGAGCAAAATGTGTTGAATACACAAATTAAATTTCTAAGCTAAGAATGAACTCTAAATGCCATTTTTTTAATGCCTGATATTTCAATGAGGTAGACTGCAATAATTTGTTTATAGTTTCCCCACCATAAAGTATACACCCAAAGATAAATGAATAAACAAACATTTTTAAATAGAAAAAAAAAATTAATGTTTTGGGAACAAAACCAATCATAGTGGAGAAAAGATAAAAATTTAATCTATTTTATCCACCTAAATTATAGCAGAAAAATATTTAGAAAAAATTATAATTTATTTCTCTGTTTGCCTTGAAATAATAATCTAAAAGGAAAATACTACAAAAAAAATACTGAAAAATTATAACATGTCTATCTCCAGTGAACTCACTTGAACACTTCTTTCCAACAATTTCTCTTATCCATAACTCTACACAGTTCTTCAATTCTGATTCCAGTGTTGTCTATGTGATGGCTGCTGGTCCAACTCTTGCTTTTTCCTATAATTTGAATCTCAGCTAATGTATAACTTCTTTACTTGTCTTTCACAGATTGTGTCTATAAGTTTTGATAGATTCCAATATTGTTCTTGATGGGGTATATTTCCCAGTGCCATCATGTAGCTTTCCTGTATCTTTTCGATAACTATTTTCATGCTAATTGTTCTGATTTTTTCTTCTTTTCTATCTAGACTTTAAAACCTTTTTTTTTTTTTTTATCTTCTCTCCTTAAAAATGTTTTATTTTTCTGATATTCTTTCACACTCAAAAAAACTTTCTATCATAAAGACTTTATGGCTTGCATTGGGAGAAATGATTAAAAAAAATATTGTTTTCAGCAGACATTTAGTGCTGTTCTCAATAGTTGAGTATGTAACATTTAGATTTTTTGGTCAGTGATTTTGTTAATGTCCAACTGCTTAACCCATATAAGAGGACTGTATCTACCACTGAACTGAAGAATTGTATTTTCAAATATTTTTTTTTTTTTTTTTTTATAGAAGTGTACATACCATTGCAATTCTAACATCAATGTCTTTTTGTGAGGAATTCCAGCAGGATCCCAGATATTTTCTTTTTTTTTAAGCATTTCACCACTAGCACGCAAGGGGTTACAGAGAGTTGGAGCTAGAGCAAATAGGAGTGATAGAGGAAAGGATGAAGAGAAGGATAGGGGATAGATCAGGGTATCTGGAGATGTCGAACATTACATTTGAATAGTTGGAGATTATAGCTATCAGGAAAACAGGAAGAGGGGTGGGAGTTCCACAGGCAAGAGGTGCGAGACATGTAGCTATTGGAGTAGAAGAGATGGTTACATTTAACAGTTTTGACAGTGAAAGGGTGTGAGTGAGATGCCAGCCTAAATTCATGAAGTTTGGGAACCAGCAAAAGCAGCTCCTTGGAGCAGTTACCATGAAAGTATTTGTAAAAAAGACAGAGGGAGGCGACAGCACATCTATGAGAGAGTGACTCTAGACGAGATGCCAGATCAGGGCCAATTATGTTGCATATCTGTCTTTGGATCTTATCAAGAACCTTGAGACAAACATAAGGGGCACCAGACCATATATGGCAGCAATAATCCAAAATATACATATAAAAGAAAATAGTCACTTCTTTCAAGTCTGGAATTTAGATTGAAGTATGCCAGGGCTGGTGCAAAGGTTTCATGCAAACTCAAACCCCCAACACATCCGAATCTACTATATCTCAATTTTCATAAGATAGTATTTATATTTTATTGTACAATAATGGATCATATATAATAAAGGTGAACAATTTAACTAGAAAAATTGAAAATACAGTGTATTTAAATAGAAATTAAAGACATGTCATAATAGATCATTCCATCTTAAATAAATATAATGTATCTAAATAGAAATTAAAGACATGTCATAATAGATCATTCCATCTTAAATAAATATAATGTATCTAAATAGAAATTAAAGACATGTCATAATAGATCATTCCATCTTAAATATAATGTATCTAAATAGAAATTAAAGACATGTCATAATAGATCATTCCATCTTAAATAAATATAATGTATCTAAATAGAAATTAAAGACATGTCATAATAGATCATTCCATCTTAAATAAATAAATGTATCTAAATAGAAATTAAAGACATGTCATAATAGATCATTCCATCTTAAATAAATATAATGTATCTAAATAGAAATTAAAGACATGTCATAATAGATCATTCCATCTTAAATAAATAAATGTATCTAAATAGAAATTAAAGACATGTCATAATAGATCATTCCATCTTAAATAAATATAATGTATCTAAATAGAAATTAAAGACATGTCATAATAGATCATTCCATCTTAAATAAATATAATGTATCTAAATAGAAATTAAAGACATGTCATAATAGATCATTCCATCTTAAATATAATGTATCTAAATAGAAATTAAAGACATGTCATAATAGATCATTCCATCTTAAATAAATATAATGTATCTAAATAGAAATTAAAGACATGTCATAATAGATCATTCCATCTTAAATAAATAAATGTATCTAAATAGAAATTAAAGACATGTCATAATAGATCATTCCATCTTAAATAAATAAATGTATCTAAATAGAAATTAAAGACATGTCATAATAGATCATTCCATCTTAAATAAATATAATGTATCTAAATACAAATTAAAGACATGTCATAATAGATCATTCCATCTTAAATAAATATAATATATCTAAATACAAATTAGAGACATGTCATAATAGATCTTTCCATCTTAAATAAATGAATGATTTGCATCAATTTTTAGCATAGACTTTTCTTGTTAGATAATTTTAACACATTCAACATTATGGATAAAAATTAGTGAATCTTATATAGTGTTTTTTTTTTTTTTAAATTTAGGATGAATAAAACAAATTAACAGATTTGGATGAAAATAAAAAACAAAAAGAAGACCCAAAATGATGTCAAAATCTAGTGAAAATTTTTCATCCTTTAATAGTCAGTTGTGCTTAGTTTAACTTATATATAAATTTAAGTAGAAAAAAAAAAGCAAATCTTGATAAAATAACAAAGAACTGTCTGGGGTCCCCAATCAGGCTTGGGTCTCCCCAGTTCAGGGGTAGTACACGTTGACCTTGGCAGGTTACCAAATACAGTTTGCTTGTAGAGTGTAATGCATTGCTCAGGTTCTACTCTTATTATCACTCAGTCATCATAAAATTATCAGAGGAAAAAATTGCAGAACCGAGGGGGAAAAAAAAAAAAAAATTACAACAGATAACATTAAGATGTGTAAATACTTGTGTCTAAATGTTTGAGGAACAAATTCAATTTGATGATAAAAACAATCTCATTATTATCGAGTTTCTTTTCATAAATTTTGGGCAGTATGCAGCTCAGGTGAAAAGTTCGGTTTAAAATCAGTAGTAATAATCACACATATATTCTCACCCACACATATTCTTTACAGATATGGATTAACAATCAACTGATATCTACCTTTGTCACATAAGTGTCTCGATTTTCATTCTCCCAAACAAATGAAACATACTGCGATTGTGTGAAGATTGGAGTGTGGTCGTTAACATCAATCAAATTAACATTGACAGTTGTGTAGGCTCGGGAACCACTCACTTGGGCCATTACCATTAATCGAAGGGTTGAAGCTTTTTCATAGTTTAAATTTTCTGGTCGGTTAATAATAATATCACCTTAAAAAAAATAACAAACAAAAAAATCTTCATGATAATAAAAAATCAAATATAGAAAGGGAAATTTGGATAACAAAAAATGGAATGACTAGGATTAATAAAATTAATGATGTGTATCCTAAACTGTCTCCACACCAGCTATGGATTAAATAGCAGGGTAGACTGAGCTCTCTAGCCTTAGATGACAGTCAGTGTAGTAGAAAGATTATTCCAAATTTTAAACCAAGGAGAAGGCAATGGAAAACCACTCCTCTATCTCCCAAGATGTCATGGTAATTCACAGAAAATAAAGAAAAGGAAATTGGAGAGCCATGATCACCTAAACAGATAGAATAAAAAAAGAAAAACAATCCTAAACTCAAAACCTTCATATATTGATGGCTGTATTTAAAAGTAAGTCCATCAATTGAAGTTTATTTTTGCTATTTTTCATATGAATATATTTTTTACTTTCGTCAAGATTTTTAAAAAGAACATTTGAATACAAAATTGCTCTCAGATTTTAATTGAAGTTAAAACATAAATTTCAAAGTGCAAAAATTTGTTTTCTTCTTTCTCTATATTACTATAATTCTTTGAGAATGCTTTGTTTTACCACATGAAAATGCTAAATTAACTGAAAAAGCCTAAATAAAGTAAACATTTAAGATTTTGTATAGGAAACAATTTGTGTCTTTATTTTTGTATTACAGACTGTAACTAAAATTTTTATCCAATATATTTATTTTACACTTAATAATAAAATTATTACTCACCACTCTGAGCATCAATAAAAAATGTCTTGTCTTCATTGCCACTAATAAATTCATATCTGGTGCTGGTCAGTTTTCTGTTTTCATAAAGGGCAGTAACTGTTTGGACATGTCGCCCTTTTGGAGCATTTTCAGGCACTGATACTTCATACACAGAAGCATTGAACAAAAGATTCTGCTGGTGTTTGTGATGGCCAACCATTATCTCAACAACGCCTTTAAAATTAAATTTTAGGTAAAGAAATATCAACTTGGGTGATTTCTATAGTAAAATTTTCTTCATATATTGAGTGAAACAATTGAATAAAAATGAATTGGAATGATTATAGATTTTCTTTTTCTCACAGTTGAAGTTCAGATAATATATAAATTTTCAGAAAACTTTATATACCCATTTATTGAAAAATCAATTAATTAGAACTTTGAAGCAAGAGTAAAAAAAATAAAATAAGCTGTTAAAATGTAAGTAAACAGATCTACATAGAAATTTACAATCCTACTTGCAAATTTTGTGTCTTCTTGTCAGCTGGCAACTGATTAACTTTTGAGAATGTTAGTGTAGCTTGAAAAGAGGAATGTTTAGATGAAAAAAAAAAAAATTGATGGAACTGTGAAATCAATCCCTAAGAAAGGTACTAAATGTAACAAAAATTTACCAAAATATTTAGCTGGTAATGGCAAAGTTCAAAATCAATTGAATAGTAAAATGTAACTTCTGAATTTCAGAACAAGACATACCTGCAGAACTTAGAAGCGGGCCTCCATTATCACGAGCAATAACTTCAAGAAAATAGTAACCACTTTCATCAAAAGTCATCTGGACTTTTGTCTTAATTATTCCAGTCCTGGAATTTATCCGAAATAACCTTTGTGCCAAATCATCAGAACGGGAACCAAAGGAGTAGGACACTTGCTGGTTCCTTCCAGCATCCCTGTCTGTTGCCTCCACTTTCAGAACAAATTTATCTGAACCCAGGTGGGAGGAAATGGTAACCCGGTATGGTTGGGCAGGGAAGACTGGTCGGTTATCATTGACATCATCCATGACAATCTGCACTGGGACACTGACAGAGTGTGGGCTTTCGTACAAGCTACCATCAGTAGCAATAACATCAAATTGATATGTACTTCTCACTTCTCGGTCAAAATATCTGCAAAACGAAATAAAATATTGAATTTTAGAGTTTAGCAGCTACAATTTTAGAAAAGTATTGACCATCTGGTGAATCAAAGAACAGAACTGGGATGTGATAAACTAAGTAAAGGATCAAAAACACGTGTTACAGAACTGGATAGCAAGAATATCTCTAAGTTGCTGCTGTTTCTTATATGCGCCATGTCCCTTCAGAAAATAAATGTTCATGGCTCACCACATCTTCATATCCTTTGTCACTCTAAGCAATCTTTAACCTCTTCTTATCACCCCTAGGTTTTACTCTGCCATCCATTTTTGCAAGCTCATTAAGATTACTTGATGTTTCCCTCTGCCTCTCTTGCCTTTAGCACATCCTGTAAATATCAAATTCTCCAAGCCTTCTCTTTCCTCATTGTACATCACAGAAATTTCAATTATTTCTTTTTAATTAAAAGTCTCCTTTTTGTTTCCTTTTCCTTAAAACTTCCTCATTGCTCACATATTCTCAGCATCCTTCTGTAGAACCACGTCTATGTTGCATTAAAAAAAAAAAATCTCCTTCTCAACTGTGTAGAAAATGACCAGCATTCATCGCTGTATAAGAGGACTGATATAGTAATTTTTTTCCTTGTTTCTTCTAAAAAGTTTCTTTTCATACATTGTTTAGCTTTGGTATGGCATCTTTTGCTATTTCAATGTACCTTTTGATTTCTGGTTCACATTTTTTATTGTCTGTTATAACACTTAACAATTAAATTTCTGTACCATACTGTCCATGCTCTGGAGAGACATAGTATATACTAGAGGAATTATTTAAAAGCTCATCAACTCAAACCATCAAATGTTATTTTTAGTAGATACCCATGTTCAAAATTGATGGCTCATTTTTGTTTTAAACAGTGTGCATTAAATCTATCATCTATTGGCCTGGCCTGAGCACTCAATGAAGAAAAATATGCTCTCTGGCAGGGTACAAAGATACGTCTCACTTTGTAGCAGAAACCACCATTTGATCAGGCATGATTTAAACCACTTGGCCACACTGCCAGAGACCACTTTTTACTTTATTAAAATTTCACCATTGTGCAGGCCAATACACTGATTTAATATTGCAAACTAATACACTGTTTAAAATAAAAATAATGAGGTGTCTATTTCAGATATAGGTATCCACCAAAAATAACATTTGAAGTAATAAAAATGTCATATATATATATATATATATATATATATATATATATATATGTGTGTGTGTGTGTGTGTAAGTGATTCTATTAAAACAGTTCCATTGGTATAATCTTAATTCTTAAACCTCAAGCATTATAAAGAATAAAGCTAAGCTGAAAAAAACAGGTTTGCATCACTTAGGTGAATATCAATGGCTGTGATTGATTTTTTAGATAATTCAATATTTATTCACAGCAACACACAAGCTTTAAAATTGCCCAAGAAACAATGTTTTTTAATTAAATAAATGTTATATTTTTAGTGTATATTTAAAATAAGAAAAAACTCAGAAGATTGGCAATATGAAAAGAGGATTTATAACAAAATGCCGGTATGTGCCATTTTAACTTTACACAACCTGTGGAAATTTCACAGTACTTTTTATTTTTTTTTCTTACAGGTCATTGTTTAAAGAAGAGGACAAAAGTGAAAAGATTAAAATCCAACAAGATTTTCCAATTCACTGAAACAGTTGATAAAACACATGAGAGCCTTATTGCCTTCTCTATCTTCCCTTTCTTTTTCTCACTAAAACCAAATAGCATAAAACTGTTAAAACTTTTCTTTCTATTTTTCCTGACAATGAAAATGGAATGGTCTATTATTTATCTGAGGTAATAGCAGGTTGTGAAGTAGGTATTCACTACAAGACTTTTTTTTTAATACTTATTTTTAGAAGCACAAATATACATCTTCAATATATTGTTAGAGTCAGAAGTAAACAAAAGGTCATGGATTTATTGTCTACTGATGCTATACTGAGAATTTTTGATATAAAGAATTTTTAAGCAAGATGCAAGCTATTACTGAGGATGCAAGCAGTAGGATACAGATAAAAGACCTTATAAAATTAGTAGAAATGAACTGCATAAAATTGCAAAATATTTAAAGACAGTATAAAAATATTAGTAAGATAATAATATTCTTTTTGTTACAGTAAGGAAGATATGCACAGCATCATAAAATCACATTTTGCACATAGATACATCAATAAGTCTTAAAATATATATATATATATATATATATATATATATATATATATTATATATATATATATATATATATATATATATATATATATATATATATATATACACACACACACTTTTTTCATTAAGCTATGCTTAGTAATAAATACTTTTTAGTCTTTATAAATAATAAATACTTTTTCTTCATTAAGCTATGTTTAATGAAGAAAAAGTATTTTACAGAGAAAAAATTTATTTTTTCAACAATCTCTTTTCTTGTTAATGTACTTAGATTAAACATCATATACTAAAAATTTCATGTCTAAATTCAGTTAAAAACTATGTCAGGTTACAGACTTACTGATCAAAATTCATATATATTACTTCTATTTTTTTAAAACAGCTTCTAGTTTATATTTAATTATTTAATTGCTCGGCACGGGTAAATCTTAACTATTTGTATAATTCACATTGAATTGACTATAGAAATCATTTTAGTTAAGGTCACTTTATTTTAATCAAGTGTAAAGGTGAAACTTTTGCACAGAGAAACTTTTGAGGAAAAGGACATCAAATTTCTTAATAAACCATTAAAAAAAAAAAAAAAAAAAAAAAAAAAAAAAGATTTTACAAAAATGAATTTAACTCACCCTATGGTGGAGATGGTGCCATTGGTGCTGTTCAATGTGAAAAGACCAAAAGTGTTATTCCCTAATGAATATGAAATATTCTTATTAGCTCCCTGGTCAGCATCAGTGGCACTAACTTGTAACACAAATGTTCCAGGTGGAATATCTTCAGGTAGCATTCGGCTATAGTTTGACTGCTCAAATACTGGTTGGTTGTCATTCAGGTCAAGCACTGTGACCATGACATGTGTACGACCAGTTCGTTGAGGATTGCCAGCATCTTCTGCAACCAGAGTAAGGTTATAAAAAGGGACTTTTTCTCGGTCCAAAGGTTCACAAGATAATTTGCCAGTGTCAGGGTCAATGGCAAACTTTTGGTCTGTGTTTCCAGCTGAAATAGTAACAAAAAATACAATTAATTTTATATTTAACATTCTTTTTATAGATACAAGTATTTAAGTAAATGCTCTGTTTATAATAAACAGTATTAAATAACATTTATCAGCCTGAATGTCCGAGAAATTTTCATAGAAAATATTCGTCCTTTGACAGGATTCGAACCTGCATCCTATACGGAACCGTCATTTAGCTTGACGTGCCTAGTTGGTAAGGTCGAATTTACTGCTTATAAACTTCAATCTTCCACAAATCTTGTACATTCATAACTTAATAAATAATAAATTGTTGGACTTTGTCCATTTCTTAATGTAATTAATTTTATATTTATATTTTTTAAGAGCTTAATTTACAGCAAAGTTGTAGCCATCATATGGTGACTTAGGGTCAGGTAAATTCCTTAGTGTGAAGTGTATCCCTATGTAACATTTTTGTCACAGCCACACCATGTTAGGTGTTTCAGCTGTGGTTTCTGTTGCAAGTAGGTTTTTACACAGAGTGAAGTTCCTAGCCCCATGTCCAACTGGTTTTGAATTCAGAGTTGTCCTTCTTCCAAGGCTAGAGAAAACAGTCTACCCCGCTATTAACATATAGCTAGGTTATTAAAGATTTATATCTTAAAAATTTGCATGGTACCCATAAAAAAAAAATGATAGTTATTTCTATACAGAGAGTATCTATAAGTATTTAACCCATAGTGGGGACAGGTGACTTTACTTGATATGATGTCATAAACAAGTAATGTTTGCATTCAAGCAAGATGAGATGGGAATTTCAGTCATTGCAATTCTATGGCTCAACTGTGAAAGACGGAAATCTGTCATAGTTAATGAGTTAAAGGTTTTATATATAATTAAAATTGGTACTAAAAATTTTATGCAGAAATAAAAGATTACATTTCTGTTTATAGTTTTCTTACATTTTAGCTTATTTTAGAATATATTAGATTTTTGTTTTTTGCTTTTGAGTGATACCAAATTTAATTTCAAAATAGAGCTATCCTCCTGGTCAAAGTCAAATCAGAGAGCATGCACTTTACAGAAAATGTTTCTTAAAATAATACAATTATAATATTAGATTAATAAGTGAAAACACATTTATCCCATTAGATTCTATTAGATTAAATGTGAAGTCTTTTTTCTTTTGCCCTAAGCAATCAACAAGAAAAACATTGCTAAAGATTGGTAGCCAAGTATAAAATACAAATCCAGACCATAAACACTTAATTACCTTCAATTCTGTAAGTAACTTTGCCATTTTCATTTTCATCTGCATCATAAGCAACAAAGGTGCGAATCACATTGTAACGCTGGTTTTCTGGTATTTTCAGGTGGTAAACTGAAGACTTAAATACAGGACTGTGGTCATTGATGTCTTTTACAGTAATGACAACGTTGGTTGTATCATATCGCATGGGATAACCATCATCAACAGCATAAGCTGGAAAAAGAAATAAATGATCCAATTTCTCTGTATAAATCAATATCTGTTTTGGCAATGAACAACGACTATCAGGAAGAAAAATAATTATTGAGAAATGAGGGCATCATCTTAATATATCTAATTTTGATAGGGTTTAGTAAGAAAAGAATCAAATTAGAATGTTGAACATTATCTCAAATATAGAAATAAAGCTGAATTTAAAAAAAAAATAAAGAAATTTGGAGAATAGAAATTTAACAGAATATCTGCAGAAATATAAGATTAATATAATCTGAAGAACATTACCTTGTCAGTTAAAAAAAATATTACAACAAACATATATAAGTGATAGAAATTATTAGGAGGATTTGAGATAATCATAATTAAGCAATTCATCGAGTCTAGAAGAAACCTCAACAGAATGCAGAAAGCACTGAACGGCCGTTTCATCACATATTTGGGACTCATCAGCAGTGCGGATCCACTACCAAGAAGTGAAATGGCTTCTAGACTTAATGAATTACTTGCTGAAAAAGTAATATTTTTAAGGAAATCAATATCTGTAATTATGGTGCTTCCTATCAAGAGATAGAGCATTGATAGTAATAAATAAGATTAAATTTTTACTTATCTTGTCACTATTCATAGATTTCATCTGCTTGTCAGAAGACTTGATTGTAGAATATTTTGTTTGTGTGACTTATTACTACACACATTATATTTAATAGGTACACATATTTGGGTAGATATTTTTTATTTTTATTAAACACTCTGGATGGAGTGGCTTGGGGATAGTAGTTGAGGCTCGTGGGGGCGCAGTCCTATAATGGAAACTTGGATGAGTTCCATCACAGAATATGAGATCAAGTGGCACTATATCGAGTCTAATTTGCTATCTCTTCATCACCGAGGCCCATTGGTACAGTTGATATGACGTCTGCTGGATAACATAACTGTCCTGGTTTCAATTGGCAGTAAATCTAGAGCTTTCATTTCAAAAACTCTCTTATATATATATATATATATATATATATATATATTGGTAAAGATTAGGGAGAAAGAAGGGAAGAAAGAGAGAGGGATAAAAAATTCTAGTTTATGCAAATACTTCCAGGATTGTAACTTGCCAGCAGATATTTTCTACTACATATATATATATATATATATATGGCTCTTACATTTTATTAATTGTGGGAGATCTGCTATTATCACTAACAAAAGTGATGGAAAGAAAAACACTCTACCAACATAACAAATTTAGTCCGCTGAAGTCCTGAAGGATGAAATGTGTCATAATTAAACTTTTTCCATTCTGTCATACATTTTGCCTAATATTGTTTTATATATATATATATATATATATATATATATATATATATATATATATATATATATATATATATTTCTAAAGAAAAAAGTAAGCTGGTAGACAAAAATAAATATACTGTTTAAAATGAAACAGCATCTCCTCAAATATCGGTATCCATTAAAAAAAAAATGTTTACAGTGATTTTTATATATATCTCTATCTATAAAAGGCAGGATGTGTGTGCGTGTGTGTGTGTAACGAATGCACGGCCACAATTTTCGACGGATTTGCACCAAAATTTACATGCACATGCTCCAAGTTAGCAGAAAGGCCAAGACCAACTTTACATTTCCCAACTCCCATCGATAGTGGAAATAATAAATTTTTTCATGCTTCTATGGCAATTTTCATGTAGCTTGCGGCCATTTTGTACTGGCCAGAGTGAGAGCCTACAGCTGGCTGCCACGAATAGGCAGGAAGATTCTATTGGCCTATATGAGAGCCAACAGCTGACCATACACGAATGTTAACTAGCGTGCTAGCATGCAAAAAAATCAATAGCTGCATTCGTCACAAGTGGGAAAAAATTAAATCTGCATGGCACTTTACTCCAATTGGCTCATTCACATGTTTAAGCTCAACGTTGATTCTGATTCTGCAGAGCTGGGTTGGGTGTGAAAAAGTATTTGTTGTTAACATTCTTTTTTCATTTGTTTTTTCCAGTTATGAGTCCTTTTTTTAAAGCTGATCGTTTTGTGTTCATTTTGTTTAGTTCTTTTTTTTGTAACAGATTTAATGTTTAGTATAGAGCTTAGAAAAAATTTGCAGTGTGAGCAACATCAGCATGGCAAAGGTCACTCTTTTAAAGGCAAGGAAGTGCAACAATATTTTAAGTCAAGTGATAGCAACTGGTGTATGTGTCATACGATTTTTGAATCAAGCATGGGCAACATCGGGCCATGCTGCTAGTATGTGTATATATATATATATATATATATATATATATATATATATATATATACACACACACACACACACACACAAGTGGGGGGTGCTGAAAAGTTCTCAACAAGACCTACTTTCCAAAATCCAAAACAGAATTTTGGAGGCAATTCCTTCTTTGTCAGGCTGAGAACATAACATCTCTTCATAAAAAACAAAACCAAACCAGAACAGATCAAAGTTATAATAAATTAATTCAATTTTACACCCTGAACAACATTCCACTCATATGTAGAGATTAACCAAATTCTTAATTTAATTCAATAAAACTAAATGTCTTTTTACTGCAATAACTGCAGACCTCAGGAAAACCTGGTCCAACCTTTTTCAATGAAAAAGGGATCTGTTGTTTAGGAAACAGATCCTATGTACCTAACTGAATCCCCAAGTCCCATATATGAGAATGTTCAAATCCACAATGACCAACATAGTTTTTGAATTGTTCATTATATGGAATTACTGTTTTTGTTCTATTTTTATTATTGGTTGTTTTTATATTATTTAATTTGATTCTGTTTAAAATTTTCTGAATAAGCTAAAGAGAGAGAATGAACCAAATGGCAATGATGCTGCTCATCCTGATGATTTTGATATTAAAAGAACAATGCTGAGGATACTAATCAATATATTAGCTTTAGTTATCAATGGGGAGACGGTAAATGAAGTTATTCAATAAGAGGAGATTGTATATCAAAAGAAATCCATTTCAATACCAATAAGCAGCACCAAAGCAAATAAAGTCAGACAAAAAGAATTGAAAAGTAGATAAGAATTTCTTACCAGTTATTTGATAAGTCATTTTGTATTCTCTGTCTAATTTAGCAGTTGTCTTTATCACACCACTATCTTCATCAATGCTAAACATATTGTCTGCAGTCCCTTGAGGAATCAAATACCGAATTCTTCCATTGGCACCTGGACAGAGAGAGAGAGAGAGAGAGAGATAAAAAAAGAAATTGATTGTCAGCAACATTGGAAAATAAATCTAAAACAACTCACATGATTTACTAGTGATATATAACAATAAGGAAGAAAGATTGTCTTTTTATATATATATATATATATATATATATATATATATATATATATATATATATATATATTTATATATGGTCAGAGAATTTCTGAAAAAGTAATATTTTTAAGGAAATCAATATCTGTAATTATGGTGCTTCCTATCAAGAGATAGAGCATTGATAGTAATAAATAAGATTAAATTTTTACTTATCTTGTCACTATTCATAGATTTCATCTGCTTGTCAGAAGACTTGATTGTAGAATATTTTGTTTGTGTGACTTATTACTACACACATTATATTTAATAGGTACACATATTTGGGTAGATATTTTTTATTTTTATTAAACAGTAAAATCAACTGGCATAGAAATTGAGAAGTCTTACTACAGAAAATGTGTCTTCCAACAGGAATCAAACCTGTATTACTTCTTTTTACAAAATATAGTTTCCCTGATTGACAAAAGGGGATACAGGTTTGTTTCCTATTGGGAGGCACATCTTTCTTTAATAGGACTTCTTTATCACTAGGTGGGTTGACATTGAAACATAAAAATATAGTATTGTTATGTTTCTCTTCCAACAAATATCGGAGTAATAGGCTGAGAGACAGGAGGTAACAAAAATAACATTGCCTTAGAAATCACATCTACTTGAAGAACAAAAATACCCATAGGACCAACTTCACAAGACACTGAGTCTTGCTGACTGCTGGTTTTCCTTTTATTGGCATGAAACATCTTACAAAGCCCTAGATCTTGACTAGTTGCAGAGAGGCTCATATCTAGACATACCAAGCTTTCCCACTGCTAACGAGGAAAATCCAGATGTATCTGGTGCTGACAGACATGTCTGCACACGATCTGGGGCCACTTTAGCATCTGTACTACTGCACATTGACCACACACAAGAGTGTCTATTTAGACAAGTGTACCCATTAAATGTGATGTTTGTAGTAGTAAGAAATAATGTCAGATTTTTTAAAACATGTTTATTTATATATATATATATATATATATATATATATATATATAACAGAGCATTTACTTAAATATTTGTGTCAAGATAAATAACATATAACAATAAAATGTATTAAAATAATTGTTGGACTTAGTTCTTAATACATCACGTCATTTGTTTACATTAAAATACACTTTGAGCAGATATGAACATTCGAGGGAAATCATGGGAAATTTCTAGTTTAAAAGCAGTAATTCAACTTGCTAACCAGATGCTTGCTTCATAGCTAAAATGGTATAGCAAATCAGGCTATATGATGGTTCTGTGTAGAATACAGGTTCAATTCCTGTCGGAAGACTCATATTTTCTATGAAATTTCTCAGACACTCAGGCCAGTAAATGCTGCTAATACTGTTTATTAAAAACAGAGCATTTACTTAAATATTTGTGTCTATATAGATAACATATAACAATTATATATATATATATATATATATATATATATATATATATATATATATATATATATATATATATATATATATTGTTGTAATCTAGAGAAGGTTTCTGAATAGTCAAACAAAGGTTGGCAATGAATGATAACACTTAGGACAAGAACAACACATATAAGATTTGCCAGCAGCGTGTAGAAGTGAGTCAAGTGAATTTCACAATAAATCTTCAACTGCAGACCAACATATAGTATTTACTACTGTATTTATGTGATTGGGGACATACCCATTATCATACGTAGGTATGCTACAACATATATATATATATATATATATAAAATTTTTGGTGGTTGAGATAATGACAAGAAAGTTTTTTTTAAAAGAATTAGATAATAAATACAAGTTTAAAACTTATTAGATAACAAAACAAAAGAATGATAGTAAAAAATATTACAATAAATACAAAACTTTGGATAAGAATAAAAAATATATGCCAGTGTTATACACAAACTACTGTTTTATGTAACAAGGAGAATTGATTCAAGTTAAAAATATAAAACAAATACACAGTACATACATTTTAAAAACAAAACAAGATATTGTGGCATGAAAAAGAATACAACTTTTATCTTCAAGACAATCAAACTTAACTACACCAGTGCTATTTACCTGTATCTTCATCCTGAGCTACAATTCGAACAATGTTAGTATTCTTGCGTGTATTCTCAGCTATTTCTGCATGATAGAGTGAACGCTCAAACTTTGGTGTATTGTCATTGACATCTATGACCTGGATTGTTAAGAGAGTATAAGAAACATGTTGTGGAATTCCTTGGTCTTGTGAGCTGATGTTTAAAGCATACTTATCCTGAGTTTCTCGATCCAGTTTTTGAGCTAAAGTAAGCAAGCCTAAAGAGGAAAAAAAAAGGAAAAGTTAAATAAAGAATATAGTTAGAGAAACAAATTTGTAAGAATGTGCATAGGGATAACTTTACAAAACTGCTTCATTAAACTATTTTTCACATTTATTATGCTGATAAATTATACTTTATACTTTAAAAAAATAATGTTTCATCTGAAGATTCTACAAAGTCTTTTTTCTGTTGCTGACATAGTTAAGTCTTTTAAGTTTGTTTTTATGATTTAAGCTATTTTGGTATGTCATCAGAAATAACTAAATTTGATGGTTAGCAGAATTTAGCCATTTTTGTTGAATGTGTTGGTGTAATGGTTGGCAACTCAGAATTTAGAAGTATTATTGTATGTATAATTTCATTTTTAAATGTGAATCCATTGCTAGGACAGCTGCCAAGAAGATCATTTCACTGTGTTGTGCTAGACGATTTTTCTCTCCAGAGTCTTACATATATATAAGTCTAACATTTGTCCATGCTTAGAATATTGCTGCCACATATGGTCCGGTGATCCTGTTGTCTATCTAGAGCTCCTTGATAAAATCCAAAGAAGAATCAGAAAAATTATTGGCCCCAATCTGAAATTTCACCTTCAGCCACTTTCTCACTACTATAATGATGCCTCCCTTTGCCTTTTCTATAACTACTTTCATTGTAGCTCTTTGCTATGGCACCTAGACTATTTAAATTTAAATGCAGTACTACACTGGTAATGATGTCTCAACAACTTACAGTTGAGCTGGCTAGATGTAAACATAAATTCTATGTTAACAGTTTCTTTTCTCACTTGTGGAACTCCCTTCCAGTTCCATGCTTTCCAGCCAACTTTAGTCTGTAAAAATTTAAATATCAGCCACTATCTACAGTCCTTCTGATTACACTTCCTGTTTTCATTCCTTAGCAATGTTCCTGTTTATAACTCTTCCACATCCACAGCTTTATTGCCTTGCTTGGAGTGAATTCAATTTAAAAAAAAAAAAAAAAAAAAAAAAAAAAGAGATACAAACATACATCCAATTTCAAGATTAGATATACATTGTTTTTATAAATTTAAAAATATACAAATAAGCATAAACAAAAAGTTACAAAGATAAAAATAAATAAAAGAAAACAGTCTTTCTCATTCTAAATTTGATAAACTTACCTGTATTTTCATCCAGCAGAAAGATACTCTTAGAATTGCCAGAGACAATGCTGTATGTGACAATACCATTACTAGAGTTACCAGAGTCTGCATCAACAGCAATCAGTTGAACAAGAGGGAACCCAATGGATTCATCCTCAGAGACGTTGATCAGCATGGAATTATTAATCTTAGGTTTATTATCATTTTCATCTTCAATGGTTACCAACACTGTAATGCTAGATGATAAACGGGAGTTCAAGTCTGGAGACTGGTCCTCTGCTACTACTATAAATGATGTTGCTTGTATCTTCTCATAGTCCACTGTTTTATTAACTGTCAGCTGACCAGTTCTGGCATCAATACTAAACATTTCACTACCAGGACTTCCAGATGACCTTATAGAATACACAATGCTACCATTGGGACCGGAATCAAAATCAGTAGCTGCGAACGTATATAAGGAGGTGCCAACTGGGGTATTTTCTTGGACTGACAATTCAACAGGATCCGTGTCAAACATTGGAGCATTATCATTGATGTCAATGACATTTATAATGACTGTTATATTGCTGCTCATTACGCTGTAGGGGCCATTGTAAACTATTTTGACTCCAAGAGGATGTGATGAGGCTTCTTCAAAGTCAACGTCTTTGACGGTGTATATCTCACCGCTAGATACGTCAATTGTGAAGGCCCCAAAAATATTACCCCCAACAAGGTAATAATTATATCTCCCACTCTCTGTATCACCATACTGGGCATCAATTTGACCAACCGAAGTACGAATTGGCACATTCTCAGGAATGCTAAATGAAATGTTTTTGGAAGGAAACAAAGGTTGCTCATCTTTATCATCTATAACTCTAATTTCAACTTGTTGTCGACTTTCCATTGGTACAGCCCCACTATCCCGAGCCACAACCGTGAGAATATATTTATTTTGACTCTCATAGTCAAGAACCTCCCGTGTTGTTATCTGACCATTTCGTGGGTGGATAGCAAAATTTGCTATAGCATTTTGATCTCCATCTGAAATATAAGAAAAAAAAAATTCTTTCAGCATATAATTGATTAAATATTAAAATAGAAAAAACTAATCAGAGAATATCAAATTAAATTCTTTCATAATTTCTATTATTTCCTCTTTCTAATAAATTGTAGAAAGCCGTGTTCAGAAAGTACAGATTTGCAAAATCCATAAGTCGCTATCACACAGTAAGCTGCCAACTTATTGCATGGTGTCAAACACCGGGGTTTATAAAGCATCCTCAATACTCATGACTGGCCATGAAAGAAATAAAAAAAAAATTCATGCTTGTGTCTATGTCTAGGTGGTTTGTCTTTTTTGATAATTGCAGCATGTGATGCAGGGATGATTTTATTGATGAGACAAGCTGACATTTTCTTCATTATACTTTTGGGGTTAATTATTTCCTAAGTACAAAACTTTAATCAGATAGAGTCTTCATATAAAAAATGTTTAAAAAGAAAATCTCAAACAAATTTAGCCTGTAGTTGGTTATAAAATGTACTCACAACCCATTTTAGTATTCAAATGAAAATGAGTTACAACAAATGTATTCATAAAGAAATTTATTAGCCATTTGGAACAAGTAACAAGATATCACTTGAGAAATTTCTTTGTTTGTGGGTCTTCTTACTCTGGCAGCAAATCAGATAGGATTTAAGACAATTCAATTACATTGGTGCAGCTGACAAGCTATTTCACAGATGTAAGCAAATATGTGGATATAGATCCGAGAGTATGAAGAAAAATATGGAAAAACAAAATTCCGAATATGCAAGTATGCTGTTTTAATGTTGTTTCAATGTCGACGTCATAAACATAAATGAGATATTCACCTTGGTAATTTAAACAATGCTCTATTTGTACACATAACTAAATCTGATCATAATTTTGATTTTGATTCTGTGAAGATTTCAAAATATATTCATAATAAAAATATTAGACGGATTTATGAGGCAGGCATAATATCTATCTCACACACGGTGAATACTCAACCCGGCTTCTTTAATATTTCCCCTTTTCTGGCAAGATTAATGCTGGACAAACATACTTATAAATTTTAGATTAAAATAAAATTCTTTTTCATTTAAAATATACTCTATTTTAGGAATATGTTTTCACAACATTGCCCACGTGACACCGATGTATTGCAAAATGGAACGCTGATCTTAAAAATTTAAGTTATTCTGTTTTGATTAGTCTTATGTCTTTTCATGTTGACTTGAATATCGTCTAATTTTAATTATGTTTTAATAACTATGTCCTGAAGAAGGTCTACTAGACCGAAACGTCTGATGTTGACATTGAAACAAGATTAAAACAGCATACTTGCATATTCGGATTTTTGTTTTTCCATATTTTTCCTATTTCACAGAGATATAACATTTTATAATATATGGTTGGTACATAAAACAATTCACAGACACAATCACTTTATATGAGGAAGAGCTGAAAAATTCTTGGCCCGAACCATTTCCCAAAATCTGGCAAAATATTTCAGTTTTTTTGGAAAGCTTTCTTGATTGGGCCAAGAACTTTTCAGCACCACCTCATACAAAATTAAATCTTTTCTAGTATCTTTGAAATGATTTGTTAGCATCTTTTTTTTTTTTTTTTTAAAAAAAATTCCCATTGTTGTAAAAGATTATAGAAAGCACAAAACAAAACTAGGTTCTAGCATTAAGTTTCAGGTTTCTAGCATCAACCTTTTCAGTAATATAAGTATTAAATATTTCTCAAACTCTGTTGATTTTATAATTTTAAAATCACTGAAGCTTTGTGGTTTTCAGTGGGCACAAAAAAGACAAAAGAATTATAGGAAAAATATTCAGTTAAGAATTCACAATTATCACCAAAATTGAAAACAGGACAGATATAATCTTATACAATTTAATTCCAGCTTTGTAACAGCTGAACATTTACCTAACCATCAGTGTGCTGTTTCCTATTATAAAGAAATTCTCAGTTCTGAGTTAAGCACATTTTGATTCTCACTTGAAAGTATTGGAGACAATATATATTAAGTCTATACAGCCATCCCTTTGCAAACAGACAGAGTGGCTTTTAAGTCTGAACATAATTTGGCTGTGATCCTGATTAGATTATGTTTAATTATTAGCATTCTAATTCAATTTATGAGGAAAAGAATACAGAAGGGAAAATATATGTTCATTATCAGAATATCACAAAATAAACTGAAATGAAAATAAAAAATAGTTTTATGCTTATCTTACTTTCATTATTATTAATAATAATAAATTACCTGATGCATGGTTAACATGGCTTCTTTTAACTGATTATAGGTGTTAACATGTACATGTTTTGTCATTCTGAATTAAGATGGGCTACAATAACTATCCCATTCAGTACCACAGAGTTGCTTGTCAGTTGCCTGACCATAACCATTTGGGCATATCCAATAGAGGCTGACTCACTGTGCATCTCTATTCATCAGCAGGAGTAGTGGGGGAGCATCATTGGCATGTATTGAGAGGGTTATTTTTTTTTAAGTTTGAAGAATGAGGTAGCCAAGGCAACTCAGAGACTGTGTGAGCAGACTGGATTACCTGACCTGCAGGTATTTCTAACTGAATCCCACCTGCAAGGTTATGTACTGCTTTTATCAAAACCTGTTAGCATATTGTATACATTTGGCTGTGGTGCATGTGCCTTGTATATCATTATTAGACTCAGTATCATGAGTATATTTATCTTTATACATTTTTACCCCAGTATCACTTTATCACCATGTAATCTGACACTCAATAATTATTATTAGTTCCTTAAAATTATGCAAATCATCCTCTAATAATTTGAATGCAAACTGACAAATATACACTATTTTAAGCAGAATGATATATTCAAATATACATATATTAATCTGGCACACCAGGGTCAGTGGCCACTACTTCCATCTGTCTTTTCTACAAATACTTTCATGGTAACTGCTCCAACAAGCTACTTTCGCTGGTTCCCAACCTGCATGAATTTAAACGTGCTACTAGGTTGGCATCTCAGTCCCACCCTTTCACTGGCAAAACAGTTAAATGTAGCTGTCTCTTCTACTCCAATAGCTTCATGTCTCACACTTCTTGTTTGTAGAACTCCTTTCCTCTTACTTGCTTCCCTGATAGCTATAATATCCAAATATTCAAATGTGATGACAATTGACATTTCCAGATGCCTTGATCTATTCCTCATCCTTCTCTTTACTCTTGCTCCTACCCTCTGTAACCCCTTGCATTCTAGTGGCACTCCCACCTTACTTGGGGTGAAATGCTTAAGAAAAAAAAGAAAAAAATAGTTTATAAAATATTTTATTTTGGTTGCTCAAGTTTATGCATCTATTTCAAAGTTAGTTTTATTTATTGCTCATTTGTGGAATTTAAAGCAATCAATGGACTATGCCACTTAACTGATACAAAATACAACAAAAGTTTAATTCTCCTAAGTTATGGTCAATATGTCATATTTTTCAACACCAGAAATTGATTGAGTCAGAGTCCATGCAGAATAGAAACCAATTTTAGATATCTACAAAAAGGTCTCAAGTCACAAATCTATCACAATATTGACAGAACAAATATCTTCAAGAGATGAAGCTAAGACTTTTACATTAAAGTTCAGATTATTTAAGTTACTGTAATAAAGATATCTCAAGATTAAAATTTAAAAATAATTCATTAGGACCTTCTTTGGGTCTGAGCCAAAATAAACTGAGGTCAAATAAATGACAGCAAACAATTTACAGTTTCATCCCTCATTATTCTTCTTAAGATTAACTTGTACTTCAGAGTTCTGAAGCACTAGATTGAATGATTCACACTTTAGCTCATGCAAAAAAAAAAATGGCAAAAATTAAAACGAAGAAACTAAATATTGGACAGACCATTTATACTCAATTAAAATTTCTGTGGCCAGTTTGTTTTTAAATACTATTACCTAAATGAAATGAATAACTTAAGGCTAGACAAATCACTATTTCTTTGATATTTATCAATATACCATGACAATTGTTTAGCTCTGGTAGGCATAAATGCATCTTATACTGAAGTTTATTGCTGATACCCGCTGACAAGTAGACGGAGTGATTTCTGGAGGGTCTGTTTATGAAAATCAAGAGTCCTGGATGCTAAAGGTAACATCAATCAGCTAAGTGAAAATTTAATATTTATATTAATTTGCTCTCTCCCATATATATATATATATATATATATATATATATATATATATATATATATATATATATATACATACATACATACACACATATATGTACACACACAGAGGAAAAGAAAAAGAATTCTATTAGGATCTAAAATTTTTATGTGTATGCTTGTCGAGCATTAATCTCGCTAAAAAAGGGGAAATATTAAAGAAACCAGGTCTAGTATTCACCGTATGTGAGATGGATATTATACCTGTTTCATAAATCCTCCTGAGATTTTTATTATGAAAATATTTTAATACCTTCATGGAATCGAAATCGAAATTATGATCTGCTTTAATTCTTTTCATTTTCTTTTTCATTCAAAATAATCAAAAATTTTTAGGAATACGTTTTGAAAGCGTCGCCCATGTGACGACAACATGACCATGCTAAACGGAAAGCTGATCATTTTAAAAATTTTCAGTTATCTGTTTTGGAGAAGACTTGTTGTTTATGTCCATCGTCTTTGTCAAATTGAACTGAATTGTATTTTAATGAATATTGTCTTGAAAAGGTTTATTAAACCCGAAATGTCAGACGTCGACATTTCATTCATTTTAAACAACATAATTGCATTTAAGGATTTTTGTTTGTTTTTTCCAAATTTTTCTTCATTCTGTCAGATCTATATCCATTTACATTTGCTTATATATATATATATATATATATATATATATATATATATATATATATATATACAAATTATATTTTTGATACAAAACAAAATAGTTACCTGCATCGAAGAAGTAGGTAATGCTTCCATTTTCTTTGGCATCGGGGTCAGTGGCCACTACTTGCAGAACAGGGGTACCTTTAGCTTTGTTTTCAAGAACTACTGCATTTTTCTTTGATGTAAATCGGGGAGCATTGTCATTCACATCTAGCACATTAATATCTACCATAGCTGAAGCTTTGCGTGGCGGTTGCCCTTGGTCACTGACTTCAACAATTATTGAATAATGGGTTTTTGTCTCATGATCAAGCACCCGCCTCAGTGTAACCTCCCCCAAAAATGGATTTATTGCAAACTCTGAACTGTGACTTCGAATTGAATAATTAAGTTTGGCATTCTGTCCACTATCACGGTCAGTAGCACTCACGATTCCAACTACTGTTCCCACACTTTGGTTTTCAAGAGTGTTGAATGTGTATCTCTTACGAGAGAAGATTGGGTCATTATCATTATCATCTAAGACTCGGACCCTGACATCAGCTGAAGCAGAAAATTGTGGGAATCCATTATCAGTCGCAATCACTGTCAAATAATACATATCTTGCTGTTCTCTGTCAATTTTATCACGGACATACAACAAACTATTATTGGGATAGATACCAAATTTTGCAGATTGGGGTGTCTCTTTCAGACTGTATGTAATTTGTCCATTAGCCCCTGAATCAGCATCTGTAGCTAGGACCTGACCAAAAGTTCTGGGCCCAGAGTTTGTCTCAATGACACTCATTTCATAAAGTTTTCTGTCAAAAGATGGAGAGTTGTCATTAACATCAAGGACATTGACAAAAACTAGAAGTTCTGTTCTTTGAGGTGGGTTACCCAAGTCCTGAGCAGCTATTTTCAGAGTATAATTATTTTGCCGTTCATAATCAAGTTTCCTTTTTATGTGAAGATCTCCTCGATCCCTGTCAATCCAGAAAAGTCCACTTTTATCATTCACCAGTGTGTAGACAATTTCTCCATTAAGCCCACTATCCAGATCTTTGGCCACAACAGAATAAAAAGGCGATATTGTAGTTTTGTCTTCACGCACAGATATGCTCAAATTGGAACCAAGGAATTGTGGTGCATTATCATTCACGTCAGTGATTGTAATATTCACCTGAATTCAAAGAAAAAAAGGAAATAACAAATATAGTAAGAACATGACTGAGTATGAATTTCTGACATGAACTATTTTAGACACAACATAAAAATAATTTTTTAAGTAAAGCTATGAATTTCTTATATGAAGCATTGGATTAATTTTTAACTTATCTTTCTTTCATAGGTGGAGTTGTACAATAGGTACTAGGACTAGAAATAATCATTTTTTTTCTTTCAAAATATTTTTTGGTATAACTATAGATTAACATTTAGCACTCTGTATCATTTATAAATATATTTCTCCCCCTTTACTGTATATGGAATCCCCTCAAAACATAGTTTTATATGTTACTTCTATATATTTGAAATTGCAGTCACCTGGTTCTCAATTTCAGTCAAGGTTGTTTTAAGTGTTGCTGTAGAAGGATATGACTACACAACCAAGAAACTCAAATTAAACTTGCATTGGCAGAACTAATATTTTGCTTGGCAAAAATAATCACCTACAGTGTGCTAAAGGTTAAGCATTCCAGACCATGAATATCATTTTTTTTTTTTTTTTTATAAAAGTTAAAAGGAAGATTCAGTTTGCTATGTAAATTCATTGAAAATTGATCTCCCAAAAGAAGTAAAAAAAAAAAAAATGTTGACACTTGATTTCTTAAAATTTTAAAAAGTATTTTTTTTTTTGAAAGATGACAATTTGGAGTGTTTAATTGATAATAATATATGGGGAAAAGGACAATATCAGTAGTAAGCAGTTATCAATGATGAAAAGACATTTGTAAATAAAAACAAAGTATAGATAACTCTTTAAGAAGTCGGGGATCAATTTGATACTGTATTTATATTATGAACAGGACTCCCTTCCTAAAAAAAACAAAACAAATAAAATTCAATATCTTTTTATTCTGACAAATGCCAGGGTCTTCAGGTCTAATGAATGCTAATATACACAAATTATTCCTCTCAAAATTTCCCCTGTTTTTTTTAGCATACCAGTTAAATAGTGATGATCAAGTAATTTTTATTTGTTTTTTTAAATCATAAAATCTTCCAATGATAGATGTATAAAAAAAAACCAGTTATATTGAGGAACTTAAACTATTACCTCCTGTCCTTATAGACAGCTTTAATAAAACTACTTATAGAAATATAACTGATTTTCCATATTTGCAAGTTGGTTAGTGAGAAAGAAAGACATACTATTCTTGTTACTTTATTCATAGGAAATGTGGGGAACAAATCAATAAAAGACTTCATATTAGAAATCAAAATCATGATATTGACTTTCATTACATGTAGATTTTACACAGAGCCTACTCATCCTCATTCCCTTCATATTCTATTGGTAAGAAGTTCCACTCAGACCGATTCTTCCCCAGAGCTGCCACTTTGTGGAATAGACTCTTGAGAATATTTCCCCAATCCATCTGATCTTAACCACTTCAAGTTTTAGGCTAACTGTTATCTATCCTACATATCTCTTTAACATACACTTCTCACTTCTTCCATTTGTACCCTTACAACCACCTTATACAGTAAGCCTCTACCTTGATTGGCTCTTGGGCCCTGTATTGGGTGATCAGTAGTATATATAAAACAAACTTTCAAAGAAAGAAAAGTGTCAAAAGCCAGAAAATTTTTTGATGTTGACTTCTCTTGAGATATGTCATATTTTTAAAAGTCAGGTTAAATTAGTCAAAATTATCTTGTTAATTACAATAAAAAATATACATCATTGTTGTCTTCTGAGAAAGAAATTATCAAGTAAATTTAATTTCAGTCTAACTTCACAAGCTAAAAAAATAAAATTATCTGATATTTTTTTTGACTACAAACACAGACCTTTCTAGAAATTAAAGAAAATCTAAAACTATAAAATATAATCATTTATAAGCATTCATAATATGAACTTATTTTTGTCACAATATGTCAGATTATTCTTGAGTTACTTTTTAGATGTACATAAGATTGATCATATACTTTCACTGTCATAATGCTTAATAGAACTCAGTGAGCCAATTTCAATAAATAGAACTTAATTTGATGGCTCCAATTCTACAGTGAGTGATATACTCATTTGCAAAGAAACTGTTGGTGATTGCTTAGAGCAATGAATTAAAAAAAAAGAAAGAAAAAAAAAAGAATAATTTTTTTTTTTTTTAATTCTAACATGAGATTAATGAGACGATCAGTGAATTTGATTAACAAAAGTCAAAAACCAAAGGTTAGAAATTTATTCAGTTAAAAAAAAAAAAAAAAAAAAAAAATTCTATGCAAATCAGTTCCTATTATGCAAGACTTTCATGTAATCACTTTAGTTTCAAACCGATTGAAGGAAAAAATATTAATTTTTAAATTAATTTATTCTTTTTCAAGTAGTATACCTTACAGAACTGAAATTTCTTTCAAATGATTTTTGCTTAAAAGAGAAGAAGAGAGAGAGAGAGAGCTGTCAATGTGAATCAATGCAAATATGGAAGTTCAAAAATATTTCAAAAGATTTTTAATAGATTTTGCATGATTAATTTTTCTTAAATATGACATTTCAGAAAAATATTTGGCTACTTTATAAATAATAATCTACAGGAACATACTGAAAATATTCAGCATTCTTCATTCACTATTTTAAATGGCTTACATTTTTTTTTAAATAAAAAGATCTCAATTACTTTCTTGGCATCTAATATAGAAAATTGCTTAACACTTTCACAGCTATGGACAAACCTTTTACAAAACTGATATTGCTTTGTTGTCTCTCTCTCTCTCTCTATATATATATATATATATATATGAAATAGGTATAGGGTTAGGTAAATGAGATAACTAGATACTAGTGACCGTATATGCGTGTGCTGGTGTGCATATGCTGGTAAGCAAATAAATAATTACCAAATTTAGCCAAGAGGTGTAGACATAATAGTGCTCAATGTGATTAGATAGAGCTAAGAAACATATAATAATATATATTAATAAATACACATAAATAAACAATAAACTATATCTCGTGCCCGATGAGTTGGGTAACCAATGAAACTTGAGCTGCACACCAAACGTGTGTATATATATATATATATATATATATATATATATATATATATATAAAACTTGACAAATGGAAAACGTATCATTGAAAATAGATTTGATTATGTGTTTCGTCATTCAAGGCTTCATCGGATCAAAAATGAAAGAAAGAAATGTGTGTATGTGTATTTGTGTGTGTCTGCTTAAATAATGAATCATACATACTTTTTCTTCAAGCTGACATTTCTCATGTTTAAAGAAAAGAGAAACAAGTGACTTTAAAAAAACAGGCATTAATATTTATTCTGTATGTTTCCTTTATAATTCTTAGTTCATGTTGAAATTTGTTAATATATTTCCCCAGCTTATTTTGTATCAAATTAAAAGCAAATCCTCATCTCATTTTCAGAATGGCACAAAAGCAAGAAATTCATACTTTTCTGAAATTAGTCCAAGGTAAATTCTCATGCAATCCTTCAGAATGGGTTGGAAGTAAAAGATTTATATGTTTTTTGGTCTATCTATTTGTGTGTTGACAATGTTTTTGTTGGAATTTTGTATCCTATTTTAAATAAATATATATATATATATATATATATATGGATGGATGGATACACACACAGACACAAAGAAGAAATATAGTTTTAAGGTGTGCTATATTTATGGGATAAAATGCTCAATATCAGAGATAGAGCTTATGTAAATAGAAAAGTGAACATTGAAGTCAACACTCAGCGGTGACAGACTGTTTCATGTTAAACGCAATAATCAAGTCTCTGAGTGTTGATGTCAATGTTCACTTTTATTTATATTATATATATATTTATTATGAAATGGATAAAGTCTGACAATTATTTTAAGCTTTTTTTTTATGTTCATACATTCTTTTTTATAGATACAAATGACAACTTCTCGGACATTCAGGCCGGTAAATATTGTTAATACTGTATAAACAGAGCATTTACTTAAATATTTGTATCTATAAAAAAGAATGTATAAACATAAAAAATGTCTTCACACACACACACATATATATATATATATATGTGCGTGTGTATTCAGATGGATATACACACACATATGTTTGGAGATATATATGGATATATATGTATGTATGCTTTCAAGAGACCATGAAATATTGCTGTTTAGTGTTATCTCCGAATCAGTGTAGACATAGTAGTAGTATACACAATGCAACCCGTTTTTTCATGTAATTTTATTGTGTTGTTGGTGTTTCTTAGCTTAGTCAATAATGCTGAGTATCCTATCAAAACCAAAATGGTGGCATCCATGAGAAATTGCCATCAGCATTGTTATCTTCATTTACTTATTATTAATCCATCAACCATTAAGCCAAAATGGGCAAACAAGAGATAAAAGATAGCAAAAAACACCAGCAACATGCGGGAAACAGGAATAATCAAAACATTGGATTAGAAAAATGTTTAAGACAATGGAAGAAGCACAATTACAGCAATATATTACCTGGCAATATATTCAAAATGTATTTTGATCTCCTTTTTGAAGACCATTTATTTCCAGTAAATGCCAATTTCTTCTTTTTCCCAAAATGGGCCTGCACTGCCAGCAGTAAAAGTGTTTCGACTGTGTTCTATATATGTAATCTAATTTTTAAACCGATATTTATTCAGCCAAGGACTACTCTGATATGTTTTAAAATGTACAGTACAAAACTAACCTTTCAGTATCCTTAGTTGTAATGTCTCATAAGTATAAAGGTTTTTGCCAGGTGAGCAGAGTCAAATGAATTCTAATTCAATATACAGATCTTTAATTAGCCATTTTAACCATCACTTTTCTGCTCAAGATGAATCATCTTGTGCTCATTTGCTTCTTAAATCACAATGTTCAATTTCTATATTTTAACACATTGACTCCTCTAAGACAAGTAGTACATACTTGCCAAATGACAATAAATAATTAAGGGATTTGTTTGTAATGTAAGACAAATTTATTCTTTAATTATTAACTTGTTGGGTAGCAAATTCACTCCCTAAAACATAACTGCTATGGAAACCATAGCAGCACCTATAGTTGTGAGGCTGTGGGCCTAAACTCCAAAGGTTAGTTTAAACAGTTAACATCCTAATTTGTATAAAATTGTCAACATTCTTCCAATGACAAGTATTTATTTTGTATTGATTCATTGTTCAAAATTTAAAACCTCTGAAAATAATGCTTTGATATCATAATGCAGCCACATTAAAATACAATGATGATAGAAAAATAAATTTCATTTTCTTCTGGAGTAATACTTTACCCTTTAAAAACCTACTTGCTATGGAAACCATAGCAGCACCTAATATGGTGTGGCTGTAGCCTTATACTGCATGAAGGAATATACTGGGTTAACATATAGTTGTATTAAGCACTTTGAAACGAACAAACACCGAATTAATTTCTTAAGATATTTACAAGGTAAAACACATTAAGCGCACAGCTTCCCAATCCAGCACATCAAACAAGAATGTTCACAAGATACTAAATACATACCTGCGATGTACCGTAAACTGCTGGGGACCCAGACGCAGCTTGTATGTTTAGAAGAACTGATGGCACTGTGTCATGGTCGAGAGGATTATCAACTGTGATCACACCGGTAAGGGTGTTAATCTGAAACAGATTCTGACGATCCCCTGAGATGATGGAATAAGTTATTGCTGAAATATAGAGGGAGATAAAAGATAGGCGAACGAAAAAAATTGACAAAAGAAACATATGTTGATGATATTATTCAAAGACAACATGGACTAACAAAATTTAGAACAAATATAGAAAAGATTTTTTTTAATTGTTGCACCTCAAACAAGGCAATAATGTCACTAAGACACCAGGGATTACTGTGAGTGAAAGAGAATGGGAAGACTTTAGTGAAGAGAAAAAACAATAAAGACATATAGCTGGTAATATTATTTTTTCAAAAACGTATAGTTGGTAATATTTTTTCAAAAATATATTGCTGATAATAGTTTTTTTTCGTCAAAAATTTATTTCTGGTAATAATTTTTTACAAAGTATTTCTGGTATTAAAACCTATTTTTACACTTTTATAATGCTTTTTAGCTCAGTTTTGGGGTTAACTATTTGCTCATAGCTGGGACCCGAACAGGTGCTACTACCCCGGATCAGGGTGGACCTGGGAACACCAGCAATTAAGACATGGTTCCATGCTCCTCAAAGCCTCTTCATCAGCGGCCTTGCTGTTGGACATAGTTTATTGTCTTACCCAGGACGCAGATGTAGTTTATTGTCATACCCAGGACGGGTATATTTTTTGCTTGCTATATGAAAAACAGTGCATTTATAGTATATAAATATATGCAAATCTATATAGAGAATGAGAAAATTGTAGATATAAAAGATTTTCTTATTTTAAAACTCAGATAATGTAAACAAAGACTGACAATGTTTTTAATTATTGACCAAAACTGATTTGAAAAGAAATGGTTAAAGAGTACTGAACTGTTACATAATATCAGTATTTCTATATGGCAGTGAATGCTTGACAATCTCCTTGCAAATGAGGAAGAAACTTGAGGCAACAGAAATGTAGTTCTACAGAAGAATGTGGAGAATACCATGGACTAGACATGTGAGCAATGATGAAGTTTTAGGGAAAATGGTAACAAAAAATAAGAATCAAAAAGAGAGAATTGAAATTTCTAGGGCACATAAAGAGGAAAAAGAACTTTGAGAATTTAATACTCACAGGACATTTTTAAGGCAAGAGAGACAGAGAGAAGCAGTTAGTAACCTGCCTAACAAGTTTTAGTAAATGGTTAGCAGAACAGTGATTAGTAAAGATAGCAAAAAGACAAAACTTACTAATAGCTACAAAGGACAATAAATTGTAGAGAGCTATGACTGTCCACGACTTGAAGAGACATGGCACATAGAAGATTATATTTATGGGAAAAATGAATTTGTGTGTATGTGTACGTATATCTTAATATGAATGAAAAGACCAGTGCACAAACCAAAATTTAGTTGTAAAGATTGCACAAAGAACACACTGGAGAAGGTGAACAGCTAGTGAAAAACATGGAAGAATCTCAGTCTAGATCATTTATCTTGGTGGAAAGCAGTTTACAATGGTAAGATTGACTTTGAACACTATCATGTCAAGCATGAAAAGCTCAAGGGAGATGTTTGTAAGGGTCTTGATGTTAATTACTGAAGAATATGCACCCAAAGTTTCATCTAACATGTAATAAATGCAGTTATATCTAAGCACAGCAGGCCTGAAGAATCATCAAAAGAAGCCACATACCCAGAGAAATCATTCACTACATGTTATGCAGCATTTTCAAATTTTTTTTTTAATCATTTCACCCCAAGTGAGGCAATAATACCACAAAGTTACAGAGGAAAGAGAATGAGGAGACTTTAGTGAGGAGAAATGAGGAAAAGACAGAAAAGGAACATTCAGGAAGACAGAAGATAGCAATTGATTTTGCATTTAAATTTTTGAAGGTTGTAGGTTGCAGAGAAGCAAGAAATTGGAAGAGAGTTCCACAGGTGAAAAGTGTGAGAAAAGAAACTATTAGAATAGAAGTGGCAGTTGCATCAATTTATTTTTTCTTTTTAAGCATTTCACCCCAAGCAAGGCGGGAGTGCCACTAGTATGCAAGGGGTTACAAAGAGTGGATACAAGAATAAAGAGGCGTGATAGAGGAAAGGATGAAGAGAAGGATGGGGAATAGATCAAGGCATCTGGAGATGTTGATTGACATTGCATTTGAATAGTTTGATATTATAGCTATCAGGGAAGCATGTAAGAGGGAGGGAATTCCATAGATGGAAAGTGTGAGACATAAAGCTATTGGCGTAGAAGAGATGGCTACATTTAACCATTTTGACAGTGAAAGGGTTGAGTGAGATGACAACGTAGTAGCACGTTTAAATTCATGCAGTTTAGGAACTAGTGTAAGTAGCTCATCAGAGCAGTTACCATGAAAGTATTTGTAGAAAAGACAGAGGTAGGTGACAACATATCTGTGAGGGAGTGACTGTAAACGAGATGCCAATTCTACAGTAAAATAGTGAGACTTAGTTGCTAATCTAGTAGTACACTTAAATTGATGTAGCCAGGGCACTAGGGGAGAAAACAAAACTCATTAGAACAATAAAATTCCATTCATATTCCATTAGTAAGAAGGAAGTTCCACTCATATGCATTCTTCCCCAAAACTGTCACTTTGTGGAAGACTCCTGAGAGGATACTTCCCCAATCACTATGATCTGAACCTCTTCAAGTTTTAGGTTAACCATTATCTATGCTACATATCCTTTTAATGTGCACTTCTCACTTCTTCCATTTGTGCCCTTACAACAACCTTGTAGAAAAGACAATGGACAACCACATCATGCCTGTGAGAAAGTGACTGAAGTCAATATGCCAGGTCAGGATTGATTACATTACTGAACCTTTGAATTTTGTTAAGAATCTCGAGATATACAACAGAAAATCTCTAGTAATACTGAAAAGCTACATCAGCACTGTCCATATTTGAGGATCATTCAAGTGATGCCATTATTCAAAATCAAGTTGCAGATATTATCATACATAACTGTTTTACCAAATGTAGTACTTGAATTAAAACCGTGATATAAAAATGAAATATTTTTATTGAAATACAAAACTTATTCTGGCAGATTTATAAACAAATAAAAAAAAAATCATTTTGGCAGAATAACATTAGAATGAATTTTTTTATTCTAATATTAGTAAAACTAAATAGGCCCAGCTAAAAATGAAGATTTTAAATGTTCAGATATCAAAAAAAAAAAAAAAAAAAAAATAGAAAATTAATTTAAAAAAACAAAAATAAACTTACCATGGGCAGAATTAGCAATTGTTGCTCGAACTCGTCCAACCATTGTATCTGGCTTATCTATTTCAGAAACCGAAAAACTGTACTTGCTCTCAGAAAATGTTGGTATTGGAACATTTCTGTCACTAACACTGATGGTAACATTGGCCGGCTTAACTGCATAGAGGCCACCACCATCTCTAGCAGTTACCTGAAGTTGGAATAATCTCGGTGCATTTGGGAGTAACTTGGACAAAGAAATCACACCTAGAGGGGAAAAAATAAATTATAGAATGTTTTATTATTTTAGAAAATATCAAGAGTTTGAAAAGCAAGTTAAAAAAAATAAATTAAAAAACAAAATTAAATTCAGAAAAACTTTGTAAAATACTATTTTCTTTTAGAAATGTTAAAAATAATAAGTGTGAACCACATTGTCAGTGGCTGTACCCAGCTAGCACAAAAAGAGTACAGATGGTAAAGTAGCCCTCAAAATACATTGGAAACTATGCAGAAAATATGGCCTTGTGTATAAAGAGTAGTGGTATGAGTATTTACCACTATCTGTAGTTGAGAATGAGCAACTTAAACTCATGCGAAATATGACCATCTCGATTGACAAGTATTTGGAGAGCAATTACCTTCTTGTCACACTTGTGCACAAGAGCAACCAAGAGCTGATCCTGATAGACATTCCAGTACTTTGGGATTAGAACATTATGGAGGAGGAGCAGGCAAATATACAGAGGTACCAAGACTCGGCAAAGCAAAATGGAGAAATTCATTAAGCAGATCATATCCCTTTGATGGTTGGTGTACTATTTCCAGGAATCTTTCTGCATTACAAGTCACCTTGGAAATACTTGACATTATTGGGAGTGCACAGATGGCAGCACTACTTGAAACAGCTCATGTGATAAAGAAAGTGTTGTCACTTTAAGTTGTGGTAGGCGCCAAGATATGGTCATCATTATCCAGCTGAAACATCTAAGAGCCAGTGAGGTTATCAACAATAATAATAATAACAAAACAGTTGCAATTACTAAACCAGGTGTAATGATAGCTCATAATGTTTAACTTTCAAAATAAAAAATAAAAAAATGGAGAAAAATATAAACTCACCACTACGCAAATGGATTCGAAAGTATCCAGCTTCATTTCCTGATAAGAATGAGTAGCCAATTGTACCATAAGACTTTGTGGAATCTTTATCTGTGGCCTGGACAGTTATTATAGGAACCCTAGGAAGAGTATCTTTATCAAGATTTGTACTATATTCCAGTGGGTAGAACTCAGGGGGGTTGTCATTTACATCTTCAAGTGACACCTTCACAATGGCCGTCATATAAAAGCCATCTACAAATAGAAGAAACAAAGTTTTAAAAAAGTTGCACACATATGATCATTTGTTTATATTGCTTATGTGGCATTAAGTAACATTTTAAAATGGCAATTTCCTTCATGTTAAACTATCATGTAACATTAATTCAACAAACTAAAAAATTAAAGATGATGTCATACACAATGCAGAGAGACTACATTCTGTTTATATATCATCAGAGTTGCTTTTTCATTCATATTAAGAACCATTTCTTATTACAAATTTGCTAATTAGGAAAAAAAGGAATTTAATTTGTTGTAATGAAAATTATAATTGAAGAAAACCTTCTCCATTTCTTTTTTACTAGAAATAATTTCAAGACACAAGCTGAGTGATAAACCTTCCCACTAAACAAAGTTTATTCTGTACATTGATCCTTTATTCAACTACAAATATGTTAAAATATAAATTTAAGAAAAAAAAATCAGTTTCACTAAAATGATTACTCTGGCTTTTGAATAAAAACTGACATTTTTCAATTGTACTGCAAAAAGCATCTAAATTTATAGCTTCAAAATAAATGTTAATGAAGATAAAACAAAGGACAAGATATGTTTGATGGCATTTTTATGTACAAACTCCTATATCAATTTCTATAATATCAACCCCATATCAATTTGTGAACTAACTTTATAATTTCCAGATTAGTAAAATGTAACCTAATCAAGATCACAGGCAAATTACATTCAAACCTAAAAGTCACTACTAATGCATACAGAATGAAGGCTGTAAAAAGTATATACAAGGTCTGTCTGAAAAGTAACAGGATTGGGTGTGCTGTATGAACTATGGATGAAATAGGGATAAGTGGATTGTGTTATCATTTAACATGGTATCTTAGGAGTATATAATAGTAATCTTAGCTTTCTGCAACCATAGCCTTTTTTTTTTTTTTTTTTACATGCTTTTGTGGTAGGTCAAATTGTGGCTGCTTCACAATGACAATGCACCTGCTCACAATGCCCTGAGCATCCAGCAGTTCCTGACCAAGAAGAACCTCACTGTACTGGAACAACCTCCCTATTCACCTGATCTTGCTGTGAGTGACATTTTTCTATTCACCAAGCTCAAAAACATCATCAAGGGGACCCATTTTGAAGGCGTGGAGGCCATCAAGAGGGCTGTATCGATGAAGCTGAGGAGTATCCAAGAATAATCCTTCCAGTAGTGCATAGAAGCATGGCAGAGAAGGATGGCAATGTGCATTACACTTTGAATGGGAAACTATGTAGTTGTTTGGAATTGAAATAAATTGTTTGTGACACCAATTCCATTTCAGACAGACCTTGTATATTAGTTTACAATACTTTCAAGTTAAAGTTCAAAATTGCCTGACTTAAAACTAAGAACACATCTTTATAATAGAAATCCAGTCAAGACAAGTTCTCAATTCTGAGACAAATTTGAACTCACACTTGAAAGTATTGGAGACAATATCAATTAAGCATTTACAGTCCTCCTTCATTAAACAGTTGGTGTAGTTTTTTGGTCTAAATGTAATTTACCTGAGATCTTGATCAGCTTATAACAATCTTGCTTCAACAGAAAACAAACAATCTTGCTTCAACAGAAATGACCAATGTGAAGACTTTAGCTTACATTATTTAAAACTGAATGAGAATAAAGATTTAGATATGCACTAGAGATATTACAGACAGAAATCCATTAAAGATCAAATTAAACCAATAAAAATTGTGTAATGTATAAAAAAAATGTAATCTTACCTCTATCATCTGCTCGAATTGGGAATTCAAACACAGATTTCTTCTCATAATCCAATTGTTTGGCCACACAGATTCGTCCACTGTTACGTTCTATATAAAATTCTGTTGGTTTCTTGTAACCCATGCCATCTGCAATTGTGTAGGTAACTTTTGAGTCAAAGCCACAATCTGGATCACTAGCAGACACCTGAAAGTGACAGGAAAAACAAAGTTTCATTAAAAGTAAAACAACTGATATAAATTTGTCATCAACATGTGTAAAGTTCTCAGAAAATTTAACAAAATTTTCACATTTCAAAATTTATTTAAGGAAAATGCCTTTGCAAAGTAAAAATAAATATATCACAAAAATAGTTTTTGAATAAAATCCTTATTTTTACTCAATTAGAAATTTAAAAAAAAATTAAAATTAAAAGAATAAAATGTGACATATTCAAAATTTTCATGGAAATCAATATTTTTATAACATTTAATTTGCCAAAATAAAAAATTATTAATCTTTAAAAAAAATACATAAAAGGAAAAGTAATATTTATTTTGTAACTTATACTGTTTAAATTTATATGTATATCTCAGTAAAAAAGGATAAAATAAAAATAAAAACAAGATTGTCAAATATGAAACATTTATACTCTGGGAAAAAAAAAAAAAGAAAATCTATGAAATTAGTCTATCCATATTTAATGAGAAAATCTAAGATATTTTGTAAGTCTTCACAAACATTTTGAAATTAATATAATATGAATATGTGGTGAGATTACACATTAAATTATTCCCAGAGAATTCTTCTACCAAACAAAACAAAAGTTTTAGGATAAATTTTAAAATCACTTTATGAAAATAGATTCAAAACTTCAAATATTTTTATCCTTGATAATAAAACAAAAATGATTGATCATTTTTCAGCATTTTATTATTGACAACATTTCAAATGACTCATTATAGTAAGCATATATTTATGGCTCACATGAACAATTTTTTTTTAAAAACCAAAATAAACATGGATACTAAATTTTATACAAAAAATTTGAATTGTTGGGTCAATTGTTTTTCAGCCAAATCAATCACTAGAAGTTTGTTTTTTTTGTTTTTTTTACAACAAAAATGACTTAACATACAAAGTTTATAAAGAGTGAAAGTAACTTTAAAAGACATGTTTAACGATAATTTATATTTAAGAAAATGCAGAGTTTTATAAATTTATGCTTGCTTGCATTCTCTTCTGAACATTATAGGAAAACAAAAGATCTTTCCAGTAAATATTAAATGATCATGAACATTCTCTAAGTTATGTAGCAAACAGATGGTGATTTTTCTTTGGGTATAATCCTAATGAAGATTAACAATATTTCAAACTATTGTTATGAAAGATTAAATTGAACAAGTAACATAGAATTTTAAACAGAAACATAAATTGTTCCAGTGACAGTGAAGATAAATATAAATGGATCAAATGATGAATTAAGCCAAAATTGAAGAGAAATATATGGCAATAAGAGATTGAGAAGTTCATCTTATATCCAGAATCATCCAGGAGCCAAATTTTAGCTAAACTTATTCAAGAAAGTTTTAATTCAAATCAAAAGATACTTAGAATCAGAAAGAGAGTTGAAATCTCTAGAACACATGAGAAAAGCGAGTTTAGAGAATTTGATACTCACAGGAAATTGTTGGGGGTAGAGAAAAAACAACAAGTTGTCAAAGTTAGCTCTTCCTTAATTCCCTAATTCTTCACTAGGGGTCTCTCTCCCTATACTATAAATACTGGGCGACTTCTTGCCTCAATCTCTCTTTCCTTCAGGCCTTATGCTGCATCCCACCTCATGTGGAGGTGAGGTAAATCTTTTTCATTTCAGTGACTACAATGTAAGCTCTCTTAGGAGATAGTGTTTCCCACCTATGGGAAGACGCCATGAACATTATACACACATACACGTACATATGAGCATTCACCTAAGAACAGCACCAATGTGTTGCCTACGTCCATTGTAAAATTGTTTTGTTTAATATAATATATATATATATATATATATATATATATATATCTCGGTCTTGTTTGTCATTTTTATCTTCAGTTGGACTTAGTTCAAGTCCACCATTTTTCTTGTAGCTGGACCTTTTAATATTCTAGCAGGAGTTAACACATGTGTTTCTAATACAACACACAATGGTCCTCTACAAAGTAACCTACCTAACAAGATTATGGAAATGGATGGCAGAATATGGAATGGAAAGGATAGTAAGGAGAGAGACATTACTTAGAGCTAAAAAGCATAGGAAGTCATGGAGAATCATGATCATTCATGTTGTGAAGGGACACAGCACATAAAAGAATACACAATTAACATCAGTATGGTAATTTAAGAAAAAAAAAAGAGCAATCACTTGATACAGCAATCAGTCATAACTAACCTTATAAAAGAGAACCATGAGAAAAGAGTCACAAAAGAACTGAACTTATTTTTACCTCCATGTTATAATGTTCTTCAAACTATTTTTCTTTTGCTTAAATCAGTCTTTTCTTCACTTGCTTTACTTATTCAAAAAACAAATATGAAGACTGATTACTTATCAGTGAACTTATCAATTGCTTTTCTTCAGTAATCTACAGTCAACTGTCTGGTAGACGGTGACAAAAAACAAATCAAAATATCTTTTGAATATTTTTATAGGTTATGAGCAAAACTCAACTAACTTCTTGTCATCTTAATTTTAATCAAGTTTATCTTCTGAAATCGAACCTAAAAGAAACAAACAATATATTGAGAAGATTAATTAAAGATTAGAAATCTACAAAATATTTTGACTTTGAAATTGATATCAAATCTTATTTATGATTTCAATTTCATAGACTTTTCTACAGAAATTTTCTATTTGTAATTTTATACTGAATAATAAATTACACTACAAAACAGCAATTTAAGAAAAATCTGTTCTGAAATACATTAGAAAAAAATTGAATATAAGGAATACTGTTTTAATGTAAAATTCAACTTTGACAGTATATAAAATAGGTATATTAAATCTGATTATTGCGAAACAAAAAGATTGGAGAATTTTAGTTAAAATTTCTAGTTGATTTTTTTCTTTCATGAACAAGGTTTCTCAGAAACTTTTAAAGTGTTCAAATTCCTTGAGCCTTTTATGACAAGAATATGGCTAAGCTGGCAACCAATGTTTAAAAAGAAGAAAAAATAACCTTTTAACATTCTTTGCTTTTAGTCTTTCAGGTTTTATTTATTATTTCTCAGATGTCTCTGATGAACAAATAAAAAAAAAAAAAAAAACGTAGGAGGAAAAATAACAATTGCATCATGCACTCACAACAGAGAGGAACACAAATGTAATTACTTCAATGACCCTAGTGGAAAAAACGAAAAAAGGTTGAAATTCATTAATAGCAGAAAAACATTTTCTGCTTCTAACATTACATCTTAAGTGTTTCATATTCATATATTTGGATGGAGGGGAAAAAAGGCGGCATTTTATCTGACATGCAGTTAACTGATGGACTATAACAATTGGATTCCACTTAGACCCTAACCAAAAGAATATTATTCTTCACATTTTAAACCGATTCCATTAGGTAGATATCCATTCAGAAATATACAAATATTTGTAAGCATAAATAAGGATGTAAAAAAAGAAATTGAAAATGTTTACAATCATTTCTTCTTGTTTATATCTATTCACTACACATACTTAAAATTCTCAGTAGTCATGAACAGAGAAAGAAAAAGGTTAAAATAGAAAATGGATACAAAGGTTATGAAAGAGACTCAACTCCCCCCAAAATTGCATTTGGTATGTTCTGCTAAACAGTAGAAAAACATAAAAGGAAAATAAAATATGCTCAAAAGTTGGAAATAAATGGAAGAAAACACCATAGATTTGGTAGAAAGAAAATGGGGAGAAAAAGAAGATTTTAAAAGAATAATTTGGCAAATTGGATACATTTTCAGCTTCTTCTCAAATAATATCTAAAAAGGTGAGGTCTCTTGGAATGCTGAGGATTATGAGAAACAAAAAATTGATAGGAAGATCAGAAGAAAATGAGTTCTTAAATTACCATCCATTCTATTTTTGTTTGCTGAACAAAAGCTGCTAATAGCCAAAACATGATGTTAGAAAGCAACCACTTTCCATTACTCGTTTTCTCTCTTTAAAAAAAAAAAAAAAAAAAACTATTCCCTGCCCCCTGCCTCGTAAAAAAAAAAAAAAAAAAAAGTAGCAACTGGGTTCAACATATACAAAATAAAAATGAGAAAAGGTCAAGTTGACAAATCATATATGTATTATCTTTTTAGTAATAAATAAAATTAAATACCCACTTATCTTGTTTCTAATCTGAGTTTACAATCAAATCTTCTGATGAGTGGGTTTAATCTCAGTGGAACATACTCCTAAAAGAATATTTCCCTGATCACTACAATCTCAGCTTCTTCAAGTCTCAGGTCAATCATTATCTATCTAACATATCTTTATAATCTACACTTACTTCCTTTGCTTACATCCATACAAAAACCTCAGACAGTAACCTTTTACCTTGAAGTGGGTCTTGATCCTTTTATTAGGTGAATAATTATTAAAAATAAAAATTAAATTATATGTTCATTTATTTTGTCTAGTCTCTGATTTCACAATCAAGTCCCCTGACTAGCAGATATAATCTCTATAAAACACAAAATAGAGATAAGTGTATATTTAATTTTATTTATACTATTAATGCTTTATCTCATAATATCAAGAAATGTAATTACAATGATTGCTTGCCTTAAAAAAAAAAAAAAAAAATTTGCAGAAAGACCCTGTTCATTTTTTTTTCTAAAATACAGTAGACAGAAGATTTAAGGAAAATGGGAACAGAAGGAATGCTTATACTTATCATCAGAAAGAAACAGTTAAAATTTCTAGGATACATAATGAGTAAAAAGGGCATGGAAAATCAGAGGGAAATAATGAGTTAACTACCTTATGAGCTTTTATAAATAGACGACAAAACAGTGGGAGGGATGGTGAAAAGACAAATACTGCTATGAACTAAAAGGATAGATAGTTGTTGTGGAGAGCCATTACCACCAAGGTTGTGAAGAGACATGGCACATAGGATATTTAAAGTAACAGGTAAAAAATATTATTACAAATAAATTAGCATTTTTTAAAAAGTTATAAACTGTCCAAGTTACGGATTTGTTAAAAATAAGCAATTAAAATTTATTGAATATTTTTCATCCACAGCACAATATTTTTGTTTTAGGGATCAAATTAAATTTACATTATGCAAGCAAATATAAGCAGATATGAAAAGAAATTAATTTTTAATTACAGCCCTGAATCCATCATTTAAGATGTAAAATTGAAAATAAAAAAAAAAACATTACAAATAAACAAAGGGAAAATCTGTGTTGAAAATTAATAACAGAGGTTTCAGAAGTAAATGTCGCCATACAACACAAGACAAACAACTAATAATTCATCATCTTAAATTGGTTGAAAGGAGAAAAATAAATTACAGAAAATCAGAAAGCTATTTCTGCTGACATTTTTAAATTCTGTGTTGATGCAAGCATTTGGTAAACATTGTTATGCCTGACAGAAAACAATTCCTATAAATATTTTTTTGCCAAAAGAAAAAAAATAAATAAAGTCACTAAGGATCCTGCCACAAACCGCCTAAAAATCCTTAGGCTCATTTATTTGATAATAAAGAAAAGGAAAGTGGACTTTATAGCTTTTTATATTCACAAATGACATTTAATACTATCTGAAAGTATAATAAAAATTGACGAATAATTGACTAAAATTGACAAATAATCAGTATACGTTGGAGAGATAAAATAAAAATACAAAGTTACATATTATAAATAACATTTTATAAAAGCTACTGGTGACTATCAATATACCTGATAGCCTTTCTGAAGATGAATTATTTTGTCTATAAATAGTGAAATAACTTTATTCGTCAATGAGAACATGTCAACAAGACAAATATGATGTCAAGTGAAAGAAAGACCAAACAAATGCTGATGTCTTCTCATATGTAAACATGAAGAAACATGTCACTTTTTGATAAGCGAAAACCTTAGCAATTTTGTTTCTTATTGCACCTCCAGAACTCCACAAGGAGTAATAAAAGTTAAAGTACATCGAATTATTTATGTATTTTTTAATGTATTTGTTTTTTATTTCACGTTTCAATTTTTTTGTTTTCAGCATAAAAACATGTGTGCAAAACAATGTATTACATAAATAAAATATTTATTCGTTCTTTTATTAGTGTACAAAAATTAAACTCTATATGCACAATACAAAGAAAGTTATATCAATTTTAAAACAGTAGGTGTTCATGTTTTTGTGCCCTCAAAAAGAATGCAGTGGCAGGGGAGATAATTCTAGAAAGAAATTAACGTGGTAAAGGTTAATCATGACCAGAATTCTTTTTGGTATTCATCACTGAACCATTTCACAGATTACAAAATAGTCATCTGTTTGGTATGGTTTGGTTTACAGCATATCAACCTCAATGGGTTATTTAATGCCGACAAGTTTTTTATTGCTGGTAATATTTTTTCCCAAAAATGTATTGCTGGTAATAATTATTTTCTTCAAAAATTTATTGCTCATAATAATTTTTTTAAAGAAATCTATTGATAGTATTAAAATCTACACTTTCATAGTGCTTTGTGTCAAAGTTTAGGGATTAGCTATTTGCACATAGCTGGGACCCTAACAGGTGCTACCACCCCAGGTTAGGGTGGACCTTGGAACACCAACAATTGAGAAGTGGTTCTATGATCAGAGGCCTTGCTGTTGGATATAGTTTATCATCTTACTCAGGACACTAGTCATCTGTGATACCAAAACTAATTAGAGTGGTTTATTTTTATCCACTTTCACCCACATTATATATCTTATCACTTTTTACATATCACATATTTTAGTGGATAGTTGTATTTGAGTAAACGCTCAATTTATTTATTAAACAGTATATTTAATTTTGTCTACCAGCCTGAATATTCATGAAATCTTATTAAAGAAAAATATGCGCTCTCCTTCAGGATTCGAATCTGCATCCACTCTGTACAGAAAGAACCATCATTAGATTCAATGTGCTTTAAGACTGACTAAGCAATGAAGAACTTAGCTGATCAAGCAAGGCTGAATAATGCCTTTAAACAATATTCCTCTCATCATAGACTTCTCCAAAATTTTTCATATCTGCTTAGATATCTGCTAAATTTATCTGCTAAATGTAAACAAAGCAATTTTCCAAAGAATTAATGGATTTTTTATTTAATAATCCAACAGATTTTATTCACTTAAAGAATTGAATTCTGTTGGAGAACACATATTTTTCTTTAATAAGATTTCTCAGGCCAGTAGACAAAACTAAATAAATATACTGTTTAATAAATAAACAGGGCATCTAA